AAATAAATCAGGATTTTTTACATTTGAAGATTTTAAGGAATTAGCAGCCAGAAAAAAAGAAGCATTTCAGATGCTTACATTATTTCTAGACTAATTGTTGCATGTTAATTTATGCGCAGTTTTTATTTTTAAAAAAAGATTTTTATTGTATGATTCTAGTAAATTAAATGTTTATAAATGTGTTTTATGTTTTATTTGAATAATTTTATAATACTTTAAATGTGCTTTAAATATATTACCTTGATTAACAATTTTATGTTTAACATTACATAATATTTTTATTTTTAAAAGGTGTCTTTCTTTAATAAAAATATTATGACATTGAAAAAGTAAGATATGTCAAAATTTTTCAAGACAAGGTTAAAAATATATTTTTACAAAAAATGACAATTCATTAAATGTCATAAATATTTCGAATTAATTTTTACGTATAAAATTAATCTGTTTCTTATAAAAATAATATATTTATTTGTTTTATATAAATTAAAAAACATTTATTTGTTTATGTCAACAACTCAAAATCAGAATATCAAAGATGTATCTGATTTCATTTATACATTCCCTAAAAAACACACGGAAGGTGTAAAAACACAACACTGGCAGCTTAAAGACATGTTAAAAATTAATAACGGGAATTTGATATTTCCACAATCAAATAAAATTTATTCCTACGATTACACCGCACAGATAAAGTATCCACTCACCCAAGAATTAATTTTTTTACCAACTTCTTTATGCGCACAAGAAGAGCTTGTTGTTGTTGGTGGAGGAAAAGGACAATTATATGTAAAAAATCTTTATACTAAAAATCATAAATACTTTTTTTTAAGTGATCATATCAATAATCATATATCAATACATGATAAAACAATATATGTATCTAATAATGACAAAATATTAAGAATTTTATCTTTAGAAAAAGACCATATTAATCAAATTAATTTTATATCTCAGGTAAACTTTTCTAGTGTTAGTCCTGATGGAAGATTTTTAATATTAGTCGGTGATACAAATGATGTTTTTGTTTACACAATTGAAAATAATGGTTATAAATTTTTTAAAAAATTGAAAACTGTAAATGATGGAGGATTTAGTGTCACGTGGAATAATTTGTCCAATAAATTTGCAGTAGGAACACAAGATGGATTTGTTTGTGTATGGGATATTCGATCAGATGAGAAACTCTATACATTGTGTAGTAAACAACAAGGATCACACAGGGGAGCGATACGTAATGTATTTTTTAGTACAAAAAAATCGCTAGATTTATTATTTTTTACAGAACAATCTTCTTATTTAAGTGTTTATGATACACGCACTTTTACAAAGCGACATGTCGTAAAAGTCGAACAGGATCTGCAAATCACAGGAGCAACAATTTCTGAAGAAGACTGTAAAATTTTTGTCTCCTCTGAATCTACCATTTATGAATATGATATAAATACGGTTAGTCGTCGTATTTTTGACACAAAATAAATAGTTATATTTTTTATATAATATTTATTCTTTACATTAATTATTATGCATATATTCATATTAAATTTTAATTTATGTTTAATCCTAACATATAAATTATCATTTTTATTTTTATTAAAAATATGTATGTGTCTATTAAGTATAAATTCTAACATTTTATTTTAATCTTCCAATTTTTCATAAATTTATGATATTTGTAAAAAGTTGTATTTATGCTTTTTTATAGAATGTAGATTAAATCGTAATGTTACAAAATGCTTAATCTTTTTTTAAAGTTTTAAATGCATATGAATAATCTTCTTTATATATGCAGTCTGAAAGGAAATAGAATACCAATTTTTAATGATAATAAATTTAGATAAAAAGGAAGGGAATTTCGGTACAACCTATTTGAAATGTCTTTAATGTTTTATTGCTAAAGTTAAAGTTTCGCTTTTTTTTATTAAACTAGAAAAAAAAATAATATGCATAGTACAGATTTTAATGCTGTTTTTAAATCCTAGCTGAAATTTCTTATATTTGATGTATTGGCAAAACTTTTGTGTATTTTTAAAACGTACAAATGCTTATTAAAATAAACATAATAGGTTAGTTACAAGAAGTGATCACAGAGGAAGAAAAAAAAATATGCTAGTTATGGAATAAGAATATAAGATTATGGTTTTTTATGAAGATCGTTTGAAATTTAAGAAGAATAAATTACTAAGCTTAAGAAGCTATTAAATTAATTAATAAAAAATTCTCTTTGCTTTTGTTCTTTCAGGGTCCTAATCTCTGGATAGAATTTGAGCATTCTGCTCATCACCATTTAAATTTAGAAATTAGTTAACTGTATGCTTTTATTAAATGTATTAAAATTACCTGTATTTTAATATTTTACACTTAACATTTTTGTGATTTTATTTTCTCTTTATTTTTTAATTTTTTACTCATCAAAATAATTTATTAATAATTAACATGAATTAGATTTTAATGTACACATTCTAAGATTAATCTAATAAATTACATTAAGATTTATTTAAATATCAGTATTTAATTTTGTGAAAATTATTTTATTAAAAAATATTTTTTAATCGTTTATTGTAAAGTTTACACTACTGTTTGATATTTTAGTTATTTTCCTATATTTAATTAATTTATTAACTTTGATTAAAAGTTTGACATTTAATTATAAATATAAATAAAAGACCCCCTTTTCTAAAGATGAAGGTATTTGTTTTATATTTGTTATCGATCTATAGTTCAAATCGCATGATAACAGATTCGCGTGTGCGAAAGTCTAATGTTTTAAGTGGTTTTTCATCGTTTTTTACATCGAATGATTTTGGTAGTGAGAAGACAGCAGAAAATTGTGAACAGAAGACAAACAAGTGTCTTGAACAGGAGACAACAGGTCGCTCCGAACCAGATAAAAGTTCTGATAATAAAAAGAAAAAAGAAAATGGCATAGCAGGAGATATTATTAGTCCGGAGTTGGTATCTGCCTTTAGTCTTTTTAATTTTTTGCTTATGGTAATTAATAAGGGAATTGGAATTATTTTTTATTCTTCATTATTTGTGATTCCTGCTATTTTTGGAGGTAAAACAATAAGCGTATTGTATAACTATTTTTTTAAATAAATATTTTTATTAAATTTAAGAAATTGATTTTAAAATAAAATTCTGCCGTTGCATGTACTAAAATCATTTAGGAATGACTTGTAATTTATCCTAAAATGTATACGGCAATCTTTCTGGTCCTTAAAAATTAAATGTTCTCGCATTTTTTACTAATTAATCAAAATACTAGACTTCGTACAATATTTCTATAAAATTATAATAATTTCTCTGCAGGATCATCAGAGGTAAATATTCTCAAAATTTGCTTAGCCTGTACTGTTCCTAACATTCTACATTTATGATTTTCTTTGTCTTCAATAATCATTTCGCTAAGTTCTTCTGTACGATTATTTTTAACCAACAAACTTAGATTAGCAAGAGTGCCATATCTGTCAGCAATATTTTTTGCAACACAGCTACTTATCCCAGGAATTTTACTTAAAATAAATGTTAAATATTCCTGTTCTTTCCCTATTTTAAATGTTTTAACTTTAGGCACAAATTTTTTATCAGAGACTAAATGTTTTAAAATATCCTTAAGTTCACGAAAAAGATCAATCTCATTTTCGACAAAAATAACATTAACATTTTTTTTAATTTGTAATTCAAACATCAATTTTTTAATGCTTTCATAATTATTTTCTATCGGTTTGTGCGCTGAATTAATTACATTTTCTTTGTATGTTTTATTAATCATTGAACTAATCTTTCTTTTATACTTTTTTTTATTTAATATTATATATATTTTAAGTTGATGCAGATTAATAAATTCGAGCTTCTCAAAATCGCAGACACCCATTTCTAAAATAATTTGTTTGGTTTTGAAATCTTTTATACGAATAAATTCTTCGTTAATAATTTTATAAGAAAAATTTACCTGTTTAATTTTTTGTAAAAGATCTTGTAGTTTGTAAGAAATTTCTAAATACAAATCAGTGTACAATGGATCTAATATTATAGGATAAATTAGAGAAGTGTCAACTTTGTCACACCAATTTAAATTTAAAAAAGATAAACTAGTAGAGTCATCGCCCATTTTATGGGTAGAAATAAAAAAATTTACATCTAACTAAGGAGCCACAGAACAATATAAAGAAGTTGGAGTATCCTTGTTAGTCCAGTGGTTAGGATATCGGTCTTTCACACCGGGGGCCCGGGTTCGATTCCCGGACGAGGAAATTTTTTTTAAGTACTTGAAATTTTTAGATCGTGTTATTTCTGCACCTGAATGTAAAATGTATTTCTCGTATAGATTTTCATTTTTAAGTGTTTATTTTTTACCCTAAATGTTTACTAAAACCGGTACAACAATAGTTGGTGTAAAATTTAACAATGGCGTAATACTATGTGCTGATACAAGAAGTACTTCTGGACCTATAGTTGCAGATAAAAATTGTGAAAAAATTCATTATATTACTGAAAATATTCAAGCGTGTGGTGCAGGAACTTCTGGTGACATTACAAGGGTAACACGTAAAGCCAGCAAAGAACTTTCAATCTTCAATAAAAAGTACAACAAAATACCAAGAGTTGCTCATTGTGTAAGGACCTGTCAACTTCATCTTCATCCATATCAAGGACATATTTCGGCTGCACTAGTGATCGGAGGTGTTGACGATACTGGTTTTTACTTATACGAAGTTTATCCACACGGATCGTCTAACTCGGTTTCGTATACTGCACTTGGTTCAGGAAGTTTAGCCGCTATTTCAATTTTAGAAGCTGGATATAAAAATATGGACATGGAAGAGGCCATTAATCTAGCATGTAATGCAATTGAGGCAGGAATTTTGAATGATCTTTATAGCGGAAGCAATATTGATGTATGTGTTATTACATCGGAGGGACGAAAAATGATGAGAAATTACAAAAAAATAGGAGTGAGAAATGAATCACAAAAATTTATTTATCCTCATTCATCAGTAAAGATTTCTAAGGAAGATGTCTTTAAATATATAGTTGAAAAATAAACGGTTATTCTTAATTTTTATTTACCCTTATGTCACTCGAAAAAATAAAAAAGCAAATTGAGTTTTATTTTAGCGATGCAAACTTTCGTGTAGATGCTTTTATGAAGCAGCAATCCCTTTTAAATAATGGATTTATACCAATTGATACAATTCTTACATTTAAAAAAATGAAAGAATTAAATGCTGATAAAGATTTAATAAAAAAATCTATAGCGGATAGCAAAACTGTTGAATGTAAAGACGATTGTTTAAAAAAGATTGAAACAGAGGAATTTAAAAACTATGTATGTGATACAGATATAGATTCCAGATGTTTATATATTTCGGGGTTTAATAAAGAGAGTACTTTAGAAGACATAGAAAACATTCTAGCTTCTATGAATCCACTACTTATTAGAATGAGAAGGCAAAAAAATAAAAAATTTAGTGGATCTGTTTTTGTCGAATTGAAAAATGAAGAAGCTGTGGAAAATGCTCTTAAAATGGAAATTCCATGTAACATTGAGGAAGATATCGATGAAAAAGCTAAGCGATTAAAAAATGAAAGTAACAATCTTATCATTATGCGAAAAAAAGATTTTTTATTACAAAAAGAAAACCTAACTGAACAGCAAAAACTTCAAGACGCCAGAAATGCACTAAAAGATGATTATGCTGATAAATTGTTTCGCTATGAAGCTGCTGATGATTTGGATATTTCTAATATTAAAAAAATTGTAAAAGATTCTGCATTTGTTGACCTAAAAGAAAAAGTTGTAAGGTTAAAGTTTAGTAAAGATTTTGAAACTAAGGAATATGAAAATGAAGGAACTGTTGTTAAAATTAGAAAGTTAACTAAAGAAGAAGTACATGACTATTGTGATAAAATTCCTGTGAGACCAAAACAGAAAAATGGTAAAAAATCTAATAAAAAATAAAAGTTTATTTATATCCTTCATTTCCAAGAAACATTTTTACAATATTTAAGATACATTCGTTTTCAATAGCTGTCTCATGAACATCAGTGATGTAAGAAGGAATTGATTTGTTTACTAGAAATAGTATGCAATCATTTGTAAAATGGTTACAATTGTTAAATAAAAGATCGTAGGTATTTAACCCATATTTTTCATTTAAATTAGCTAAAAAAAGTTCAAACTCTTCTTCTAAAATTTCTGTGGTTCCCATATCATGTATTGTGTGTGGAATTTTGTGCTTTGAACAATTAGGAAGAACTTTACATATTTGATTATCATAAAAAAATTCTTTTCCGTATACTTCAATAGAAGTATGCCAAATCCCAAGAAATTCTTTTTTCAAGACATTATTTAAAAGTTTTACTATTTCTGGATCGCCAATATTATAAACTCGTAGAATAACTTTCATAAGGGTATAAGAATTTTGTAAAACAAACAAATTAGCAAAATTATTTATTAAAAATTTATTAAATAAATTAGAGCATAAACTTACAACTCTTTGTTTGAAGAAAAAGTTCTCTTGTTTTTAGTTCCACAATTATAACAAATATATTCTGTCATCCTATCCTCAGGATGTACCATTCCATTATGATAATGACAGTGAGCGCAAATCAATGCATACATTTTTGTTGGGTCATCCCCCAAAACAATGTCAGCTACTTTTTCAATTACATTGGGTTTCTTTTGTGACAATCTGCTGAATGACGTATTGCGTAAAGTACTTCCCTCATATTTTTCTAGTAATTCCATTGTAGCTTTATAATCATCCTCTTCTTTAAGAATTTTAATATATTCTTTTTGCTGCTCTCTCAAATCTTCTAATTTCAGTAAAATATTTTCTAAACGCCAATTGTAAAAAACAGATAAAGCAAATTTTAAAAGACATACTGAAATAATTGGAAAGATTGCAAATAAAACTAAACTTTGTTCGTCACAAAAAGCATATATCAAAGACAAGGTTAGTAAAATGAAAAATACATAAAAAGTTAAACAATTTGCAGTGGACTGGGATTTAACAATCGATTTCTTGTTATTCTCAAATTTAATAATCATTTTGTCAAGATTTTTTAATACATCACGTGTAGATTTCTTCTTCGACACAACATTTCCCATATAGGGTTTGAAAAAGGAGTAAAATTTGTAACTATGAAATTATTGTATTTAAACTAGAAACTTTATAGATTTTTGTAAATGTTTAAATAATTAATAACATATAACTACAATCCTTTTATTATATTATATAAATCTGCTTACCCTTCAAATATGTCAAAACTATGTCTTATATGCAAATCAGAGTGTAGTATTCCACATTGGCTTCCATGTAAACATATATTTTGCTTTTTATGTATCAGAAAACATATAGAAAAACGAAACTTTTGTCCAGAATGTTTTAAATCGCCATTTTCACCAGCTGATCTTAGAACCAACCAAAAACAATATAATAAAATTGATAAATTACCAATATTAGTTCAAAGTAGAGAAGAACACTTGGTTAGAGAATTGAAGAAAAGGAGGGCAAATTCATCAGGAAGTAAGAGTGCTCTTATGTACAGATATCATGAATTATCTATCAATGTAGACAATGAACGATTTAGAGAAATTCCACGCAATATGGATACTATAGTCCGACAGCTTAATCAGCTAGAAGCTGAAAATAAACAAATTAGAAGAAAAATAGAAAAAGATTTTCCAAAAGCTTTTGATGTTGTTAATAAACTTAAGCTAAAATATAAAAAAAATGATGGCGGTGTCTAAAATTTTATACATTATTACTAGTTTTACTGTGCATATATTACAGCTTACAGACCGTATGATTATATTTTTGCAACAAATTATTATACATTTTTTCTAGGCTTAATTTTTGTTTTTTCATCTCTTTTATTTCTATATTTTTTTGTTCTAAATATTTTTTGGTAGAATCAAGATCCAATTTTGCATTTCTAAATTCTTCAGTAAATTCTTTTATAACTTTTAGTAATTTTTCATTCTTGCCAAATTTATTTAAATCGTGGGCCTCACGCCTTAAGACTTCAATCCTATCTTTCATTTTCCCGTAAATAGTTTTAAATGAATTAACTATAAAATTAATATTTTTACTTTTAATATTTAAACTTTGTAAAAACCCTAGAGTTTCTTTACTATACTGTAGTTTTTTAACTTTCTCATTAATCTCATTAACTACAGAATAACACTTATTTAATTCTGTTATAGCATGTTTAAAAATATATCCATCATCTTGTTTGAGTTTGTATCTCATAGCTCTTTTTTCATTATTTAAAATTTCAATTTTTTTATTTGCCATTTCCAAATCTTCTTTAATTTTTTCATTTTCAATAGCCAAGTTTTGTTTGTTACGCGTTTCTTTATTAAAATTTCTTTGTAATTCTTTAATATAAAGTTCTGTTTCTTTATAATTTTCGAGTTCATTATTCAACGCAGCAACATTCTTTTCTAATTTTCTACATTCATTTTCAAGAGAAGCAAGTTTATTTTTATATTCACTATTCATATTTAGAAGATTACCGCGTTCGTCATAAATAATTTTGTACTGTGTTTGTAAATGTTCATTTTCTTTTAGTAATTTTTCTCCTTCTGAATAATAAGTCGCCTTATCATTTTTAATATCAAAATTTTCTTTTTGTAAATTAAGATAATTAGAATTAATCTTATTAATCTCATTTTTTAAAGATAAATTTTCTGTTCTGAGATTATTAATTTCATTTTTTAAACATTCATTTTCATTTCTATACTTTTCAAGTTCATGATAAACATTTCCTTGTTCATGTTTAAAATTTTCAATTTTTTGATCACATAATTTATGCTCTTGTAAAACGCTTTCATATTTATTTTTAACATTTTCAATGTGTGTAATTAATCTTTGATTTTCATCTTCAAGGCTCAATAATTTACCTTCTGTATCATTAATTTTATCATTGTAATCTTTTAACATTTTTTCTTTTTCAATACCATTAGATCTTATAATCTCTTTAAGATGATCAATTTGTTTTTGAAAATTTTTATTTTCATTTTCTAAAATGTCTATAGAAGTTTTTGAATCGTATAATAATTTCTGTATATCATCATCTACATTTAAAGGAGCATTGGATTTTAAGAATGCAAGTTGATGTTTTATTTCCCAGTTTTCGTTTTGTAACCTTGTGATTTCAGCCTCATAGTCTTGTACAGTTTTCAACTGTGTCATTTTGTTAAACTGCAAAGAAAAAGAATTTTCCATTTAGGGGTAAAATTTTAACCTTGTAATTTTAATAATTTATTTGTTGTAATGTGGTATATCTGTGTCGTTCTTATTGATTTCTAGTACTAAAAGATTTTTAACTTTTTCTTCATCTTCTTTTGTAGGCCCTTCAGTGCTAAACCATGTAGTTTTTTCCTTTATTTTATTCATTCCTATTCTTCTTTTCATTTATGCAAAAAAGTCATCAAGTAAATTTTAAAATGATAATAAAATTTTAGTAAAAAAGTATGAAATATTTTAAAACAATTAATAAAGATAATGTTTAAGGTAAATTGTTTTTTATCCTAGATAACTTAATAATGAATGTAAAAATGTAATTTATAATATTTTTGAGTATAACAGGTAATTTAAAGTGTATTACAAAAAGCTTATGATAATATTTAGATTACTTAAGAATAATAATAAAGATAGTGAATAATTAATCTTTATAAATAGGTTTCTTAGACTTAAAATTTTATTATACTCTGTAATACAAAAGAAAAATAATAATTTAATATTATGGCTATTGTATCTTTGTACTGAAGTGTAAAATATAAGTTATCTTATAATTTTGCAAAAATTTTCATTTAATATTGCATAATATTAAATGAAATATTTTTTAATAAGTTAATATTGTGTTTTTAACAATATTAATGTATTTGATAAATTGATAATTAAAAAAAGTATACCTTAAAAATGAATGAGTTATTGTATACTTTTTTAAAAATAATTTAAAAAATCAAATATATTAAAAAATATTATCTTTTTAATATTTTTTATTCTTATTTGTAAAATTTAATAATTTTTCAAATTAACACTTTTTTTTGTATTGTTGTGCTACAAATTATTGTTTAAATTTCTCAAAGACAAGCATACAGGTTTATATGACTAATTTTATGCAGAGAAAGGTATTTTTTCAAAGGCTACAGTTTTGTTTGTACAAATAAATGGAAAAAAAATATTATATTTTTTTACATAAAATATAACATTGTACAGATTTAAATTTATTACGATTTATATTTTACAACCAGTTTGTTTCTTTTATTCCCTCTTATAAACTTAAATTTTTCTTTTTGTATAACCCCAAATGAGTTTGTTTACAAAAATAAAAGAAATTATTGATTATGTATTTGGCAATAAATTTACAGAAAAAGAATTACGATCACATAAAAAACTTTGTGATAAATTTTTACATCGGCATAAATTAGAAATTGATGATCTTAGAGAGATTCAACCTCTGATTGAAAATATTTCAGAAAAAGAAGCAACAGCAATGATAAGACGGAAAATAAATAGATTGATAAAACATAAGAAAGTAGAAGAATCTCCTGCGATGGCTATTAAGAATAAAAAAGATTATAGAAAATATATTAAATCTGAATTGAAAAGAGTTTATGACCTTTCAGATGATAATAGTAAAAGGATTAAGCGTATATTAAATAAGAAACCGGCTTTTACACCAACTTACAAAAATGATTTGCAATTTGTTATTTTACCTTCCTGGTGGGATATGAGTAATCCAGTTTATGTAAAATTGGCTAAAGAACTTCCACTTGATGAAATTTTAAAGGATACTGATACCATTGAAGTGGGTGATGTGCCTTTAGAAGAGGAGGTTGAGTGGTTTAATGAAAAAAATGTTAAAAAGTTAAATTCTTATTATGATAAACATCCTAAACAAAGACCAGTCTGTGAAAACATTAGGAAGACTCGTAAACCCGAATTACTTATGAATTGTATACCCTGTGAAAAATGTATTGAAAAGAAAATAAATACGAGTGTTAAAAAAATTGAGGAAGAGAAAGAATTAAATTTTTATAAAAAGATAGAAGATAAATACAAGGAAATGTTTAATTTGAATAATGCACAATTTAGTGAAATTTATGAAAAAATGGTTTTAATTGATAAAGATAAGATACTAAAAAGCAATTTGGATAAAAAAGTTAGGACTAAAAAAGACCTATTTAATATTTCAGAAAAAAGCAGAGGAATAAGACCAAGATTAAAGAATAATGGATTTGAATATCCTCATATTATACATGTATTTAGGTCAGATATTGTTTATCATCCAAGAGTCTTTAAGCCTATAACTTTAGCTAGAGTTACTTTTGAAAAAAGACATCCGAGATTTAAAAGGCATGGAAATTATTACGAAGATCTATTACCTGAGGAAAAAGAAGCAGAAGAAGCTTATAAAAAACTTTTGTATAAGAGGTACAAAGATGAAGTAGAAATGGTTGAAAATATTGTTAAAAACCCAAAATATTTCGAAGATGTAATTCCATCTTTTACATGTACACTTGTTTTAAATGTTGATAGTAAAAATAATGAAAAATTGTATAAGAAATGTTTAGAATTTAAAAATAATAAGATTAATTTATGCAAACAGCAAAAGGAATATAATAGTACAGGATTAATGAAGTTGGAACGAGATATATCCTTTGAGAATGATCTAAAAAACAATGATTATTCAATTATTAAATTATATGAGGAATTAAAAAGACAAAATGAAGAGGCTAAAGGCATTGAAGAAAATGATTTTCCTGAAAAATACTATACAGAAGACATAGAACGAAATTTAGTTGAAGAAGGAGGAATTATAAGATCTTCTAAAGTAGAAGATAAATTTAGTAAGCCTGTTGTTCTTAAACCAGAACCTATGGCAGAATTATTTGAATATAGTTCTCTTAAAAATGAGGCCGAGGACAATTTTAAACATAGAAAAATTGAGGATTCTAATGAGGATGTTAAGAAAAGTACAAAAGATGAAAATCTTAAATTAACAAAAGAAGTTTGTGAACCTTTTTCTAGTAAAACAATAAATTTAGATTTAGCGACAAATCATAATTTAAAAGAAAAAGATGCAGATGTTATTTCTAATAAAATAAGTGGTGTTAATGATAGTCATTTAAATTCAAATAAACAAGATATTTTTGGTATAAAAAATAATAATAACACATTAGGATCTAAAATCACAAATAATGATGAGATTATAGAAAAAAATCATGATCAAAATTTAAATCTTGTCGAGGACAATAAATTAGAAAAAAATATGAATGACAAGGAAGATAATCTGTTTAAAAGTAATACTAATAGAATTGATAACATTTTTATTAAAAATATAGACAAGCAAGTTATTGATAATCAGTCAAAATACAAATCAGAGTTGGTGGTTGAAGAAAAAAAAGAAATAGACACTGATAAAAAAGAATTGGAAACTAAGACTGACTCTGAAAATTTAGATAATCAAGATACATCTAATAATACTGAACAGCAGAACACAGCTCCTCCTAGGATACAAGGAAAAAGAGCCACATTGCCGTTGAAATATCAACAGATTAAAAAGGCACCTATTATAAAGGATGATGTAAAAGAACCTGTTAGGGGAGAGGGTGTATTACAATATAAAAACTTCGATCAGTTTTATAACAGACCCGATGATTTCTTTACTAGTCAAGTAAAACCCGAACCACCTAAGAATCCTTTAAAAGATAAAGATCCTCTAGCTCTTTTAAAAGAAACGGGTTATGCTGTATTTGAAAATCTAGAAGAAGTTAATAAAAAGACTAAAAATCCACCTAAACCTGAAATTAAAGAGAATGGTCCGATATTTGAAAATCCTTTGCATTCTGAAATTTATAAAAAAACTTCTACAGAGGATGTGTTAATTAAAGATAATAATTCTAATGCATTTATTGGCAATATATTCACACAACCAGATACTTCAGTTAAGAATCAGCAGCCTGTTTACGATGAACCACTTAACTTTAAACGTCCTGATATAGGAGGCAAGACCAAATTGAATGATGAAACTACACCATTCCAATTTCCATCTATAAGTACTTCTGGAAAGACAAAATTGTCCCCTGGAAATGCAAATGAGAATTATTTTAACACTACAGCATTTGAGAATACATCACCGAATAATTTTAGTTTCAAGCCACAAATTAATAATTTTATGCCTATGTTTCAATCAAATGCTTCATCTCATGCAGATAATGTTAATTATGGAATTAATACACAGATACCCAGTACTTCATCTACTAATACTTTTTCAAGTATAGATTCAAAAATTAGTCAACCTGTTAAAAGATATAATTCAGATTATGTAAAATATCCCATTAATCCAAATATTAGACCTGTATTTGATCCGAATAACCAAACAAACATCAATAATTTAAATAACCAACCATCTTTAAATAATTTAAATAACCAACCATCTTCAAATAATTTAAATAACCAACCATCTTCAAATAATTTTAATAACCAACCATCTTCAAATAATTTTAATAATCAACCATCTTTAAATAATTTAATAGATAATTCTAAAATACCAATACAAAATAACATTAACAATCTGACAGAAGTGGGAAATTCTTCCTTTGCTAGTATATTTCAGACCAATAAATCAGGAGGCATGTTTGATTCGATTTTAAAAGATGCAAATAATTCAGTAGATGAATCTTCTACTGGCGTAAAATACAGGAAAGATTATGATCAAGATAATAATTCGGAATTTAACTTCTTTATGCAATAAAGTCCTATATTATAAATTGTCTTTTTATTTATAAAATGTCCATATAATCATCTTTGTAAATCTTTTTAAGCTGCTCTTTATTAAATAAATGAATATTATGTTTATTTATAAGATTTAATCCTCCCTTTTCACTTATTATATTTTTTAAAAATTTAACTGTGTAATCATTTTGACTAATCATTTTAGTAAAAGTTTTTGTATTAATTAATAAATTAGTTATAAAAGGCCTTTCAAAAATAACCCGATACATAAATATAATCATTTTTTCAGTGTAACGCTCAATAAATTCTTTAAGTAAAGGCAATGCATCACCATTTCTAAAGTTAATAATCCAATCTAGTGGTATTTGATCAAAAAGTAATACTTTTTTATCAATAAAGTGATTATTAATAAATACTAAATGAAAAAATCTATTAAATACATCCAATTTACATGCAAAAAGTTCAAAATAATCTAAAAATTTTTTATATTTTTCTTTGCTAAACTTGTCAATATATTTTATAATTTCTTTAGTGTCAAATTGATAAAAATCATTGTAAAAGTATTCTTTAAAAAACTTAAGCCTATTGTATTCAAATGGTTCTAATTTAAAATTTATATCAGAGTTAGAGTGTTCTAAGGCCCATTTAACATCAATATAATTTGAATTAGCAGATCTTTTAAATATTGAAGGTTTATTTTCATTTATTTTGCATTGAATTTTTAGTAGCTCTAAATCTGCTTTTTTAGAGTTAAGATACATTGACTTGTTTGTCTCACTTTTTTCTAATCTTAATTCATAATTAGATTTTTCCAGTTGGAGCATGTTTTGTCTTAAAAGACTTATTTCACCTTTTAGTGTTGTGTTTTCAGCTTTTAGTAAATTGTATTCTTCTGTTTTTAAATCTTCTTTGTATAAAATTTTACTGTTTGAAATATCGGTGTTTGATAAAGATTCTTTTGCCATGTGTTTTATGCTATAAAATATTTTAAAAATAAATTTAAAAGAAAATAAAAATATAAATCTTGTAAATAAAAATAAAAAATACAAAGCTTGTAAAATACAAAATTAAAAGATACAATTAATGTAAAGCACAGAGTTATAAAAATGAATCTTTTGAACATAATTATTATTGTAATATAAAAATTACAATACAAACAAAATTTCCCTTATGGAATCATCTGTCACATTTAACAAGATTTCTCAAAATTCAATACTTATTTGTAAAATATCCCTAAGTCCACTAAATATTCCCGATTGTTTGTACATCCATATCGAAGCACATGTTTACACACCAATAATAAAGGAAAAAATACTAACATCTCTCCCTATTTTTTATGAACCTATAAATCTTGAATTTTATTACAAGTGTGTTATACCTTACAATGCTGTTCCTACATTTGAGAGTGAACACTATAAAGTACACTATAAATTAGTTATGACTTTTGTATCAGGAAAATCAATAAAGTTAAAGAACTACACTTTTAAGGTTTTAAACAACCATTATTTTATAAATTACAAATACAATATATTTCTAGATTCAGATATGTTACGAATAGATTTAGATGAGAATTATAATACAACAGGATTTAAAGAGATTGTAAATTTTTTGCGCAATACAAAAATATCTACAAATGAAAAGACTCTTGTAAACAAAATTAAAGAAAAAATAAATAAAATCAACACGTTTAATGAAAATTTTAAAGAAATTTTAAAAAAGCATAAAAGCAAGGGAGATGTTTACTACTATTTGAGAAAACAGAAAAATTCATTTTGTAAATATAAAGAATCTTCAATTACACAAAATGGCATACTAGTCATTTTATTCAAATACACTTACATTGTTAAAAATAAGATAATCTTAAAGATAGACTTTTTCAAAAATTTTAATCTTCTTAAAATATTTTTAATAAGAAATTTACAAGGAGAAATATCTGAAACTTTGCTTAAAGTAATAAATGTACAACATACAATTTATAAAAAAATAAATATAAAAAAAGATTGGGAAGACTATTCTCTAAGGACAATTTATTTCGAATCAAAATTGTACCTAAAGATTTTGATTGATGATTTATGTTTCAATATATTTCCACTTTTTACATAGCAAAGTAACAATAAATGCACTATAAAATAAATACATGGTTGATTTAACCCTTAATGCTATCACATCCTTATGTTTTAGATTTACTAAAACAGTGGAAATTATCTGATGATCAAAATATACCAAAAGACTTGCTCGCTTTACTCGTTCATAACAAAAAAAATGTAGATTTATCAGAATTGTGTAATTTACTTTACAATTATAAAGTAAAAAAACAAAAAAGAAATAAAAATCTAAAAAATTTAAAAGTAGCCTTAAATGAATGGTTTACTGCTAAAGAGGGAATGTTTAAACTAATTAATAACGATAATCTCTCAACACAGACGATAAAATTATTAAATAAAAAAGTAATTAAGCATTCACAAAAAGACTTAGTAAAAGATTTTTACGAGAATATTGACGCAATAAGCGATTTCCATCCAGATTACGCTATAAAAATTGTATATGAATTGCTTGAAAAATGTAAAAATTGTGATATTAATTTTAAAAAAGTATCTAGTAACATAGAAAATATACTAAAAGTTAATAATAAATCCAGAGAAAGCATTAATGATTCATCAATTTTGAATTTCGTGACTAAAAGAGAAAAGACATCTGCTAGTCAGCATTCTATGTTTCACGTATTGCCCTTTGATAATTCTGTATATTTGTACAATCTTAAAAATCCAAATTATAATTCTCTAAGGCGAAGAAAGGATCTAGTAAATCCAGTTAAAAAAATATTTATAAAACTATCTACAGATTTCCGACCACCTATTTATAGATCGCAGAAATTGTACCTACAACATAGAAATAGTTTAAAAAGAATATTTAATATTGATTATGAAGAAGATAGTACATGGGAAGATGATGAGGATGGAGAGAGTATAAGATCAGAAGATAGTGACAATGAAGATGAAGATAGTGAAAACGAAGAATGGGTAGAAGAAGATTCTGATGAAAATGATAATAAAAAAAATCAAAGAAGACCTATGCTTACATTTCCTAAAATAAAATGTGTAAAAAACGAAGCTTATACAAATTTATGGGACAATTTACCGCTAATTAATGAACAATAAAATGATGCAAAGCCAATGCACCTATGTATTTTAAATTTATCTAATAAAACTTTAACATATATTTTTATTTTCAGGTTTAGAGATACTATCTCTTAATCTTTTTAGTAATTTTTTATATATCCCAGATACAAATAAAATTTTAAAATTAACTTTCATTCCATTAATTTGCCCAACTGATACCAAACTAAACAGTATAAATTTACAAATATCTCTATCAACTCGTATAACAAAAATATTATTTTCATGTAAATATTCTAATAATGCTAAATTTTGTAATCTATACAAAACGTGTTCACCAAAATTCTCATTTACTTTGTCACGAATTATTGAAATTATAGAATTTTCTAAGCTAACATTTTTTCCTTCGAGTAAAGAATATGAAAACGAAATGTATCTGTATTTTCTAACCGTCATAAAAAAGGAGTAAATTTAATTATAGCATTATTTAAAAAGAAAATAAAAATTAAATATTGTTTTACACCAATATTTTTTATTGGTGTAAATTATTGTAGTTCTCCTTTTTATCATTTTATTAATTGTTATTGTCTTTTTATGCATGCTACCATTCGAAGGTTATTAATCGCTCACAAAAAAATTAAGCATAAACTACGAAATCTAGACAATGAAGATGTTATAAATATTGGTAGTGAAAAAATAATTTCATATAAAAATAGTTATTTTAAAAAATTACTTTACATACTAAATATAAAGGACATAGATCTCGGATTATCATATTTTTATAATTCTTCTATTAAAGGAAACTCGTCGTCGCAAATATTTTTTAGTGGAAATTTTCAGTACACAATAAAAATAATTAAAGAAAGTGAATTAACAACTTTTTTAAAAATAGCAGAAGATTATTTAAATTACATGATAAACAATCAGAATACTTTTTTAGTAAAAATTCTTGGATGTTTTACACACGTACAGAATAAAAATAAGATACATTTTATAATTATGAAGAATATATTTAGTACAAGAAATATAAAATATATTTATGACCTAAAAGGATTTAATGTAGATAGAAAAACAGATCATTTTATAAAAAAAGATAAAGACTGGATTAATGATAGATATAAAATAGATAATAAACTTTGCGATAACATTTTGGAGAATATAGAAAAAGATATACATTTTTTAAAAATTCATAATATTATGGATTATTCACTTGTCATAAGTGTCAATACAATACCGTGCAATAAATATTTTGATAGAGAATATAAAATTAATAAGCAATCAAATAGTTTTACTATTTTAAAACAGGGAGAGTATTCTATAGGCATAATAGATATTTTAACTTCGTATGGAGAATATAAAAAAATAGAAGACTGGTTTAATTTTCTGTGCCTTTGTTCACTCAATAAATCATGTAAAGATCCTGAAAAATATTCAGAAAGATTTATAAAAAATATTTATAATAATTTATTTCAAAAAAAATAGACTGGTAAATTTATTTAATGTAATTTATAAAATGTAGAATAGACTACGAGAGGAAACAAAATCGTAGCATCACCAACCAATTTTACGCAACTTTTATTTGCTTTTATTTTTCCCCAACTAACCGATTCTTCAATATTTGCCCCTGCATCACTTCCATCGTATTCATTTGCAGTGTTAATTAGTACACAAAAATCCAGCCCATTCCTAAATAAATTGGCATTTAAAATATGGTGCTTAACAAGTCCTGCTCCCAAAATAATAGCACCAGTAGTTTCACTGCTTAAACCGCTAAAATTTATGTTTCTAATATCCTCTACTATATCAATTTTTAAACATAACCTTTTTTTATAAAAAGTTATCATATCACCGATAGATCCATCAGTGAGAGCGGGTGAAAAAATAGGAATATTATTAACTGCTGCCCAATAAAGTACTGAATTTTTATCATTTATTTGTTTGCCTAAATATTTTATTAATTCAGACGGCGTAATAATCAATGGATTTTCTTCACTGTACCCTTCAACTAACAAATCTAATGACTTATTAAACCATTCTTCAAACAATTCGTAGTTTTCATTCGATATTACAAGATTACCAATTCTATTGTATCCACTTTCTCGTAAAACTTGACCTTTGTAGTTAAAGTTTGCACAATACGTCGGTTTAAGACATTTTATAATATCTTCTTCTATTCCCCCTGCTGTTATAACACATACATCAACATGTTTATGTTCTACAAGAAATCTAATAATATCTCGTAATCCACTACTAATTAAATTAGATGTACATCCTAAATATATTTTAGATTTAGCTTCTATCATTTTTTTTATCTCTAAAATTGCATTATAAAGATTTACAGATTGAAATCCTGTTGTTTTAAATGACTCAAGAATGTCATCTAATGTGATGTTTTCTTTATTAAAATCTAAACCTTTTACTGGTACATTAAAATTTAATGGCTCATTTGTAGTATTTTCGGCTGCAAGATCGTGCACATTTTTTGGCGTCCTCATTTTTTGGGTTAATTTTTTTTATTTTATTTCATTGATTTCTTTTTTATATTTTATTGAAACTTGAATTTACCTGACTGCTTATGTTTATAATAAATTTAAGTAGTTTTTTGTTTTTCTATAAATTTAAAAATATATTTATGCATGCAATAATTTTGAAATATTTTATGTATACAATAAATTATTATATTTATGCATGCAATAAATTAAAATATTTATGTATACAATTAACTAATAAATTTAAAAGACTTTTCTATGCATTTATTAAAAAAATAAATTTTAAAATATTTTATCTGTGTATTTATTAAAAAAATAAATTTTGAAGTAAGTTATTATGCATGCATTAATAAATTATACCCTTAAATGTTACAGTGTTGTAATTATAGCATAAAGCTTATAAATGGGATAATACCTCCTTTTGGAGATTTTGATTGTCAATCCTGCACAGTTGATAACCATATTTACATTTTTATAGAACATTTATATAAAAATAAAATAGTAAATAAATCAGTTAAAGATTTTTTAAAAAGTGATAATACTAAAATAAGACATGCTGCAGTAATTTATTGTAAAAAAATTCTTGATGACAAAAATATTTTAAAGTTTATGCAAGATGATCCATTTTATAAAATTAGAAAATTGTGCATAGACACATTAAATGGTGAAGGCTTAATTTCATATTTTGATGATGTTAATGATGAAATATTAATTAAAGTTTTAGAAGTTTTATATCAAAGATATTTTGAATATAAAGTGTACTTTAATGATTTAGAGACTAAAGAAACAACAAAGTTTACAGAAAATTTAGATCTTTTGTTTGTTAAACTTACTGATTGCATGACACATACAAATATTCAAATAAGAATTTTAACTTCTAAATTAATTTCTATTTTGTACAAATTAGATTTAAAAACCTTAAAGCACATGTTATTTAAAAATACAGATAATAATATATCAGGAATTATTGTTTACGGTTTAGAAGATGAATGTTCATTGGTTAGAAAAAACACAATAATTTCTCTATATATTTTTTATAAGGAGGTTATATTAAATTTACAAAAAAAAGGAAAAGATTATAAAAAAATAGTAAAAATATTAGTAGAATATTTTATTAATACAATTAATGATGAAGATATTCAGGTAAGGAATACTGCTATACATTTTTTTTCAGAAATGACATGTATAAGTAAATTTAAACTAAATAATGATTTTATTATTCAAATATCATACAATCTTATAAAAACAAATAGACTTTTTAAAGAAGATTTTGATTTATTGAAAATATTTAGGAATATTAGGTTTAAGTCTGCTGATGTTTTTTTCATGGTAGTTCAAAAATTAACATATATATTAGAATCTAAGATTTTAGTACAGACATTGTATGAAATGTTTAATAATAATTTACAATTTGTGTGCAAGAAATTACGCACCTTTACTATTTATGCTGAACAAGAACAAGAATTATTTAATAAAGATTTTATTGTAAGGATATTGACACTTTATGTACTCAAGCAGAATTTTTCTATAAAACGAAAATCGAATTTAGAAAAATATTTTTTATATATTGATCTACTTTGTAAACAGCCAGATAGGCTGTCTGTGATGAAAGATAATCTTATTCATTTAATAAGAAATGAAAAATATAAAGATGTGTTTAAAATTAAAAATTCTAAAAATGACACAATTAACTTTATGATTTTACTTTATAAAGGATTACAACGTAAAAATATTAATGGATTAATTAAATTAAACAATAAATTTAAAAATGTAAATTTATCTAAAAGTATTCTTTTAGATAGAGAAAGTTTAGAAAAATGGATAAAAAATATAGATTTAAATATTATAAAGAAATAATTAAAGATAATGAGAAGTAAAAAGTCTTTTTTATACAAGTAAATAATTAAAAATTTCTTGCTATTTATAGAATTTTTTATAATTTACTTTTATGTAACTTGGCTTGTAACCATAAATCGAGCAAAATTGAAAATGTAAAATACTGTACTATGATTTATAATACTAAATACTATTTTCTATTACATTTAAATTTTAAAATGAAAAATTTACTAATTATTGTTGTATTTCTTTAACTACTTAAAACTAAATATTCAATAAATTTTATTATCTTATCTATATAACTTTTAAAATTTGTTTTATTTGTTATTTCACGCATTTATTAAATAAAACATAATAATGTTTTATTTTTCACAAATATTTAATCTCAATGTATTCTAAACTAATTTACAGTCCTTAAATGAAGTTGGATGAAGAAACTATAAAGAAAATTTTATTATACAATAAATATAAAAATTTAACAGAAATAGAAATTAAAAAGTACATTACAGAACTACAAATTATAAATAAAATGTATAAAAGAAAAATTAATAAGTACAAAAAGTACATAGAGAAACATACTAAAAAATTATAATTTTTTATCCCATATGTTAGAAGTAGATTTTATACCGAATTTTATTTACCAGTCTACAAGTGGAAATATTTCTAATAATAAATCTATGATTTTACAATATAAGAATTTATATTTCATTTCTTACAATAATACACTCAATATTTGGAACTTTAAGACATCTACGCTGGTTAAATCTTTGCGTCATAAAAAATACAATATTTCTTATTTTGATATTTCTGATTCTTTACTGTTTGTTGGATTTAGTAGTGGACTTATACAAGTCTATAAATTAAATAATGATTTTGAAAAATATCTTGAATACAAAATACATACAAAGCGGATTATAAATATAGTGTTAGAAAACAATTTGTTAATTTCCGCATCGGCAGATGGTCTATTAATGAAATACGATTTAGATTTTGAAAGAGGTACATGCATTTTACAAACAAGTCCTTTAGATGTATTTGATTATAAATACAAGATATTTGGTATTGCCACTGGAGATGCAACATTTACTACAATTAAAAATGATAAAGAACATGCTATTATTCTTGACAATAGATTGAAATACTTGTTTATTTTAGATGATTACAGTTTTTTATTTATTTTTAGAAATAATGACGTAAAAATATATGATTCTTCAACTGACACTTATAAAGAAATTAAAAAATTAAAAAAAATAAAATCTGCAAAACGCATTGATGGTAAAATATTTATTTTAGGTGAAAAGAAATTATTTTCTTTTATCATTAAACGAAATAAAAATGAATTTTGTTTAGAAGAGCAAAAAGTTGTTGATATAAATTCTAATTCTATAGATTTTTATGTATGCAATCAAACATCTTGCTTTATTACTGCAGACAATTCTTTTTTTAGCGGTAAATTAAAGTTAGAATTTCACTGCAAACCAATAACAGATTTAAAAAGAGATAAAAATGATAGAATTTGTACACTTAGTAAAGATAAATTTATAGTCTGGAATGTTTGTACTAATACCTTAATTTGTTATAACCAAATTAAATTATCTGAAGGATTAGTTTTCGATGTTTTTTCATCGTATTATGTTATCGGAGAAAATAATAGAATTTTATTTGTTAATTTTAACGATTTAAAAATTTTTAAAATTTTAGATAATGACGTTAGAGGAAAGAATTGTGTACAAATATCAGTAAGTGAATATTCTAAAAATTTTAATGAACAAAAAAATGAAATATTAGGTATTGCCATTAACCAAAAAATTAATTTTTACGATACAAACATAGACTTCCTGGATTCACTAGATCTTCCTGACTATGTTTCTTCCTTTAAAATATACAATAATTTTTACTTTGTAGGGCTTCTTAACTCTAAAGTGTATATTTATGATAAAAATAAAGATTTAATAAAAACACTGTATGGTCATTCTTTGCCAGTTACTAATATTAATTTAAGTGATAAGTTAATTTATACTATTGGTGCGGATAAGATGCTTAAAATATGGGGCCTTGATTTTGGAGATTGTAGGAAAAGTATAATAGCAAATGATAGCATTAATTTACAAATATTAAGTGACAATTTATTTATTATAGGAAGCACTAATCTTAAATACTACATAGGATATAAAATTTATTACGAAAAAAAATATTTTGATTCCAATTTACTTTTACTTTGTAAAGACTTTCTTATAGGAGCTAATGGAAATAGTATAAGTTTATATGAAATAGATAAATATGAGTTAGAAAAAATTAATGAAATAAGTGAGGAAAGTGAAATACTAACTACAAATAATATAAATATTATTAACACATCGAAATATGAAGAATTTATAGATATTTTGGAAGATAAAAATAATTACATTAAATTTAATAAATTTATATGTGGGATTGGACTTGGCGATTTAGACAGTTATTTAATTTTACTAAGTGCTACACAGATATATTCATTAATAGATTTATTATTTCAATGTAAAAATACAATTGTAGCAAGTCGAATATTTTGTACGCTTATATCTATGCATAAAGATATTATTATGGGCTATAAAAGGTGTGACGAACTGAGGGAAAATCTGTGTATTAAAATGAAAGATATAAGAGATAAATTAGGGAAAAATACTTACAAAATTATTTTTAAAACAGGAGAAAAAATTTAAATAAAATAACTTATAATTTTATAAAAAAATGTTTAAAAAATAAAATCTTATGGGAGATAAAAAAATTGAATGTTTTTGGGCTTTATCAACTTTTTTGTAAAATGTAAAGTTTTTTTACGAGTGGATTGCACAAAATTAAACTTAAAATTATAGTTTTACAAGATTTAGGTAAAAAACATATTAAATTAGCATTTTTAAAGACTATAGAGGTTATTAAATTTTACATTCATTTACATATTAATTAAAAGAAGATTATTTTACTGTTAAAATTTTTATATACATCTAGCTAAAACATTCCCCTTTAAAACGGGACGCGAATTTGATAAACGCCAATGTACTTTTTCTAATTTCAAAAGTAAGCTACGTCTTTATGCATGCTTTTTTATTATCTAAAATAATAAAATAAACTTTGTAACTTAACACATTTTTCAACTTCTAAACTTATTAAAATCTAGAATGAATAAAAAAAAATATTATTTTGTATTTAGAATAATAATTTCAAGTTATGTGTTACTGCTCTTAATTAAAAGATTAAAACGGAATTTTACAAATTTAAAAAAAAAAGGCAAAAAAATAGATAAATATTCAGATTTAAATTTTTTATATCAGTTTAAAAAAATAATACAACTCAGATTACTCAAAAATAAAATAATTATAGATTAGAACACATTATTTATTGGTGATTTAATGATTTGTAAAACAGTCCTTTGTAGTACTTTACGATAATACGCATTTTAAATTGTCTCTGCGAGACATTTTTTATTTTTTTGTAAAGAAAATAATACAACTTTTAAAAAAATATAAATTTCCCTTCAAAATGCTGTTTTAAATGAAATTTTATACCCTTCATTTATGACACTCTCTTTTTTAACACAATCTCAAATAGTAACACTTTATAAGGAAGGTTACTCTCGGGTGCAAATTCTTCAAAAACTTAGTGTACACAAGAGCAATGTCAGTAGAACCCTCGCAAGATATAATAAAACATGGTACTTTTAATTATTTAAAAAAAAATTGGAAGGCCTGCATAAATTGAAAACTAGGATTTTGTTGAGCTAGAGAAAATTTTAATTAAAAATCCAAAAACGCCATTGCGCATATGGACCTACAAGATTTCTGGGCATCTAGGAAAGACTGATCTCACACAATTATTAAAAACATGCTTAATAATTAAGTTATATATGCATATAGTTTAATTAACAAGCCTCTTTTGATAAAAAAGCATATTTTGCTTAGGAGAGAAAACCCCGGTAGGATGTTGGCCCTGCCTGACAATGATATAAAGTTTATAATCTTTTCAGATGAGAGTAAATTTAATATGTTTTACTCTGATAGGCGGGTCAACGTCTAAAGGAAGCCCGATATAGGCCTTATTTTTAAAAACTTTTCATCAACTGTAAAATTAGGAGATGGCTGGTCATCGCATGGGGCTGTTTCTCATACCATGACATAGTGAGGTTGGTGTTTATTGATGAAACAATAGATTACGCACTATATGTAAATATATTAGCGAACACCCCTGGAAAATTGAGAAAGATAATGGGTGTTAAGGGGTTTATTTTTCAGCAAAATAATGATCCAAAGCATACCTCGAAGCTTGAAACGACGTATTTTAGAGAAAAAGATTTCTGTGCTTTCGTGGCCTCCACAATCGCCTGACTTGAACACAATTAAAACACTTTGGGTCATTGTCAAGTAAAAAATTGCTTATTTAATACCAAAAAATAAAGACTAGCACAAGGAAAATATGCGTACAGCTTAAGAAATTTGCGAAAAGTTGTGCATGAATTTTAAGAATCGTATTTTTTCAATCTATAGAGCATGAGATCTTCATACGAAGTATTAATCAAAAATTTGCATTATTTTTTCTATAATTTATTTAATTTATATAAATAAAAGGCTATTTTACAAGCATAGGACAAAATATACAAGAACCAAATGCTTGTGAATAATAAAATAACAATTTACAACTTTTTCTTTTTGCAGTATTTATTTGTAAGATATTTGAGTTGCATTATTTTTTTTACAAACTGTATTTAAAGCTTCCTGAAATGATTAATTTATATAAAAAATATAATATTTTTAATTTGAGAAAATAAGATATCTTCTACACTAGTTTACTTAAACATTTTCTATAGTTCATCACAATAAATAAGGATTTTTAAATTGTGCGCAACTTTTTTTAACATTTTTCAAAAAAAGAAAATGAAATAAAAAGTTGGCAATAAACCTTTGTTAAATATCCTTGGTCTTTTCTTGGTTTTTAAATCCATCCCTGTCGTAATCAAAAAAATTATGTTATTCACTGCTAAAAATTAAATAAGAATAACAGCTACACTTATTAATCCTAATTTTTTCATGCCTTGTTTAAAACCTTATAAACCAGCTTAATTGAGCTTTTGATAAAATTCTTGTTTTTAATAGATTTACAATATTTTTTTAAAAAATTATTATACTTTTAATTAATTCTTTTTTTTCGGATTTTAATTAAAAAATTAACAAATAAATAAATTAGACGGCTTATAATGGAAGTTACGAAAGATACATGCTTAAAAAAATAAATACAGTTTTTATTTTAAATATTCAATAAAGAAAACGTAATTTTCTCTAAAAAAAAAATCATCAATTAAAGAGCTGACTAAATACGACAACACTTTTTTTATCTTTGTACTACATTCAAAAATATGATCTTCGTTTTGGGCCAAAAAATCGTTAATATCACTTTGATCAATTGATGGAACATCTTTAATGTAAAACAATATTGCTCTTTTAGTAAGCGCCACTAAAGACTCGGATTTAAAATCTTTTAAGACTTTATAAGCATTACAAAATATAGTAAAATTTGCAAAAAAAGATTTATCAAGGCTTGAACTTATAGCCATATTCTCCTTAAAATAGTCTTTAATTTTTTCATATTTTGCTTCTAGCCTTTCAATAGCTTTCCAATTATTCTTCTTAAATTTAATAATTCTAAACATTGTTATTAATATTGGCAAATCTTTTTTTTTTACAAGCCTATCATTTGCTAAAAATAAAAGTGAATAAACCGAACTGCATATCTTAACATTTCTATTGTTTTTGATATGTTTTACAAAATCTTCCTTTATTGAGATATCACTCGAATAACAATGTTCAGCCATCGGAGTATTATAATCTGTCAACACCAATTTATTTTCAATCATACATTCAATTATTGATGTCATTCTTGGATCTTCTAAACCTTCATCCAAAGATAAGTCAAATAAATCATAAGATTCATCTATTCTAATGGAGTAAAAAGCTACTTGCAACTTAAATCCTAACACATTTAAAATAAGCAATGCAATAATTTTCATATAATAGGGATTTAGAATTACTTTTATAAAAAAATTAATTTAATTTTTTAATAAAAGTATTTTTGATGTAAGATAAATAAAGAAATTTTAAGGATATACTAGACTTATAAATATGGTATAGTATAACCATGACATATTTTCTATAAATTTATTAATTAAACAGATTGTGATTTTTTCATCAAACATGTTTATACATTTCTAAAACGCTAATACAATATTTTTTAGCTTTTGCCAAAACAAAAAATGTATAATAAATTAAAGGTTATTTATAGTAGCAAAAAAATATATTTTTAAGCAGATATTTTAGCTAAAATTTTATAATTTATTACTGAATATTTAGCAAAGAATAAATAATTGTTTGTTACATTTTTTGAATCAAAATACAACGTTTTTAATTTCAAGTTATTTTAATGGTTAAAAAGCTAAATCTATCATTTATGTAATCCATGATATTGACATGTTCTTCAAATTCCACAATGGCAAATTATTTAATAAATAGTTTAGAATTAAGAAAGATTAAAAAATTTCATTATACTTCTTTTTGGCTAAAAAGAAAATAATAGTTACATATCTAAGTTAAATACCTATGTATTAATTTTAAGGTATTAAAAAAAATGTAAATACCAATGTATTTAAAACCCGAGAAGTCGTAGAAAGAGCCAATTTGTTTGAAAAAAACTTAAAACTAGTCACTGTCTTTTATTTCGACTTATGTTTGTTAAAAAAACAGGAGTGCAAACCCAAAAAGGCTTATTGATCTAATTTGTAATTTTTTATAAGTCTTTTAGTATTTTTTGTATTAAATGTTCTTTTGCTCAAAAAAAAGTATAAAATAAGAGATTTTTGAAAAAATCAAAAACTTTAGGATGTCTATTCCCATGAAAAAGTGATAATTATACTTAGGACATTTTATAAATCTTTTTCGTGTGAATTATTTGTTGAAAAAGGTTTTAGACTTTAAAAAAAATATTTAAAATTTAAAATAAAATGTATTTTAGTGTATTACTATTTATGAAAAAACTATGTAAATTTTTAAATTTTAACTTTAATATAATAATAATTTAAATTTAATTGAATAGTTCTTATTGGAGAAACTCCAGTTTGTCGAATTATTTTTTAAGCACACAATTTTTTTTTTAGATTACACAAACATCATAATTATTAAATCCTTATCTTAATCTTTTGCACCTTTTCGTTTATTTTGAAAATTTTGCTTTAATTGCACGACTTACAAATTATAAAAATTATTAAAATACCAATAATCAATTGGTGTTACATTATACCAATACAAAATTTTTACATGTCCATGATCACTAACAATGTGTTAGATTATAATTTAAGTATAAAACATATAAAATTTTTTTTTAGTTGTTGTAATTTATTTTGATCAAAAGCTAAAACCTTTATTTAGAAAAAGTCAATGTGTAAATAAATGCATTACAAAGAGAAACAAAATCATTATAAAAATGTCACTTGTTCAATTTCAATACTAAAAGATAAAATATCAAATGAAGATATTACTAACATCAATATTACAGAAATATTTAAAATATTTGAATTTACTGATCTTTATCTTCAATACTTTATTTTAACAAAAAATAAAACAGAAAAAATAACTATAAATAGCTTTTCTGCGCATAAAGTTGGTGCGATGATAAGAAACGTAAAGAAAACTACAATTATCAGATACAATCAATTAGATCTCGATAATACAATGATTAAGTGGTTAAAGTTAAATTTATCTAACTTTACAAATACAAAAGATATAATTTCTATTTTAAATGAACTAAATTTAAACCAAAAAGATAAAAATTTTTTTAGGCAATATTTTGGATACAATATAATTTACAAGGAATATAAAAAACTTATCGATGATGCTTCGACTGAAAATTTACAAATATTATTAGTTTTGTTAGATAATAACAAAATATGTTACAATAAATTACTAGAAATTTATCAAAAACTAAATTATTATTTGGAAAATAATATCTTGGATAAAAATTTTATATTTTGTTGTAAATTTCTATATTTCTTACTTGAATATGATTTTAAGATGTTTTATGAAGATTATAAAGAATTTCTATTAGGATTTAGTATTTATTTATTTGATTTACTTTATCTTCAAGATACTATAAGGATATTTGAAATCCAAGATATAAAATATATAGTAAAACTTATAAAAATTATTTATCCGATTGGAAGTAGCAAATATAAAAAAGGTATTTATATTAAGTCTTTAGAAAGACTTAATACACTTTTTACAAATATTTATGAAGATACTATAATGCTTATTTTCATACTTGAAATATTTTGTATGACAGATGAATTTTATGCTTCTAATGATTCTTTAGACTTACTACATAATCAATTAGAAGCCTTTCAACTATCGCCATTATTTAAAACTTACAAAGATTATGATTTTATTAGTTTAAGTTTTTTTAAATATAAATACAAAATTTTAAATAAATTAAAAGTAATATTGGAAAAATCGTATGACAAATTAAATGTATATAATGATTTGTACCATAATGATACAAACAGTTGTGTAATTTTATATCACCTAAATGATACTGCTTTTTATGGTCTACTAGATAACCTTATAATATTAATTAATAATTCAAATGATAAAATTCAATACATCAATATTTTATTTGATAAACTAAAAGAAGATGATTTATCTTATTTGTATTTATATCTACAGGCAATTAAAGAAAATCATAAGCATGTTTTATATTTTACTATTTATTTTTTACAGATGCATGTTACACTCCATAGAAATTATTTTGAAATGTTAATATTAATTTACTTCAATTTTATTGATGAAAATGATGTGTATATTTGTAGAACAAGAATTAAAATATTGGATTTTATAAGTAAAACAGATAAAATATATATTGATATTATAATTAAAGAAATAAAAAAATATAAGAATAAGAACAAAAACATATTTATATTAATTTATTTTGTAATAAAAAGCATTAAAGGGATATCAAAGGAAGAATTTATATTTTTATATAAATATCTGCTTGATGATTTGGAAAAAAGTATAAAAAATAATGTTAAAGACTTACATAAAAATAAAGATTCGCAAAAAAATAATATTAAAGATTTACATAAAAACAAAGATTCACAAAAAAATACAGTCACATGTTCTGTAGGAGAAGACACTTTTTCATACCAAGTCGATACAACTAAATACAGATTTAAATATTTTTATTACAAACTTGCACTAGATTTATTGACAATTTATGATAGTACAGACAAAATAGAATTAATTAATTTTACAAATTTTCATAATTACACAATTATATTACTTTATTATCAAAAACTTAACAGTGGCTATGATTTAATAAAACAAGACCTGTTTAAGTACGTTTTTCTATGTTCTAAAAAAGAGAGAAAAATTTTATACAAATTAATTTTTATTGAAAAAATATGCGAAAACGACCAAGTAAATGATAAAAAAACTGTAACAAGAATCGAAAAAAAATATAATATTTAATAAAATAAGTTTTATCTTTTCTTAATTCTTTTTTTTGCTTTGGGTTTAAAACGATTTTTTTCTTTTTCATTAACTTTTGGATATTCTAATTTTGATTTACTTGGAATATGTAACTTACTTCTTTCTCTGTCTTCTTTTACAATTTTCCGACCATCACCTTCCTTATAAACTTTCATAAATTCTTTGGAACTTAAGCCTTTCCCATTATTTTTTATTTTTAACATCCTTCTTTCTTTTCGTGATAATTTTTCTTCATTATTAGCATTCTTTTCATTAAATGCAATACTTTTAGTAGATTCAATAATATTATTATTTTCTAACTTTACATTAGTACATGTTTTTGCTTTTTTCTTGTGAGATTTTTTTGACAATTGTCTAATCTTCTTCTTACTATATTTTTCTTCTTCAGTGTTTTCCGTTTCGTTATTATTTTTTTCATTTAAATAATCAACTACTTTAGTTAAACTTTGTTTATGTAGTTGTTTCTCAGTAACATTAGACATATTTAAAGGGTAAAAAGCAAAAAAAATATAAATTAACCGTTTTAATTTTCTCGTCTTTCCGCCTCTTTTCTTATGTGCTTATTTGATACAGTTTTCATATTAAAATTATTTATATCATTTGTCTCATATTTATTTTTACGTATTCTATGCCCTCTTGTTCTAGGGGCTCTTGTATCTCTAGCCTGTTTTTTATTCTTAATGTGTGCTCTCTTGCCTCTTCCAAAATCTCTAGGTAGATTTTCTTTCAACAAATATGATGTCTCTTTAGAACGATGTAGTCTTTTAGGGGATGATCCTTTCGTAATTTCAAAGTTCATTTTTTGTAATACTAATTGTTCATGTGAGCTGGGCGGTGTTATGTCTACACCTTCATCTTCTTTATCTTGTTTCATCATTTCCTCTTCACTTACTATAACAGGTAAAGATTCCAAATCATCTTCTTCATTAACTTTCCTCAAATGGTTATCCGTCAATATAAGATTTTCTCCTTGTTCAATCTCATCCTTTTTGCCAACTACTGACTGGCTTCTTTTTTCTGCATCCATACATTTTTGAGAATTTTTTCATTTTATAAAGAATAAGGGGTAAAGGAGTTTACTTTACAATTTATATAAAAAAGATCAAGAAAACATTTAGTTCTAAAACAAAATTTCAATAAATTATAAATTTGCAGACATTTTCGTCTTAAAATTTAATTTACTAAATCTTTATTATTAAATCATTTTAAAATTTGTAAATATTGCTTATCACTGTTTACTTTTCTTCATTATTATTATAATTACAATTAATAAAATAAATGTAAACAAATTTTTAAACCTATTTATTTTCCCATAAATGCATAATCTTATGGATGAACACGATTACAAAAAAATGATACGATTTATGAAAAAATCGTATCAATCATTTTGTAAAGAAGTTGTAGAAATAACAAAACCTTTTATTGACAACATAGATTTTTTACTAGTTAATTTCCCGTATTTTAAAGAAATAGAAATGGTTTCTAAATATTTTATGACACAAAATGAAGACTTTAATCATGTATTTATAGCAAAATTTTATTCATTTTCAAATATAATTTTTTACAATCCCGAATTAATTTGTGAAATGGACAATTATGATAGCATAAGCGTAAATAAGTTAAAACTGTGGGATGGTGTATTAGGAAGGAGTGGAAGAAAAAAACTTAGAAGGTCTTGGGTTAGATGTAAAGGATTAGAGACTGATGATACAGAGATATATACATTAAATGATAAAGAAGTGGTACTGAGATTATTTTTTGATATTATTAACTATCATTTTAAAAAAATGAAAAAGGTTGTTTTAGATCATATTAATATAAAAAAAGTCTTAGAATATTTGTATATTGATGATTCTCTTATGGATAGAATATTAAATATTGAACATACATCAATTTTTAAAGGTATAGACAATGTATCAGAAATGTTTATAAAAAGTGAAAAATATAATTTATTAGAAAAATATTATGAAAATGAACATGATGTAGTAAATGACAATCTAGACACTGATAGGCTTACATATTTATTTTTAATTAATCCACATTTCTTAGAGTACAAAACTATTTACAATGTGTTAAAACTTAAAGCGAGACATATTCCTGTTTATGAAAATTTTATATTAAAAAGAGGAGATTATTATTCTGATAAGGAGATGATTTGTTCTGACACAAAGTATTATCTTTATTTATCACTTCTGAATATTAACCCACCCGAAGTATTTTTTACTTTTCCTTTAGTCACTGAAAAGATGATAAATCTTTGGTTCTTAGATGCAGAAAATGCTTTCATACTTTTCAATAATTTTAAATTTATAGATAAAGACATTTTGCATTCAAAAATTTTTGAAAGAATACAAAATGCATACAGGAATGGTCTTAGTGAAAGTGTAAAGAGTAAGCCCAAGGTGAATACTATCTTTTCATTTTGTAGAAAATTACTAAAAAAAGATATGCTCTCATTTATTAGCTATCACGAGACAGATAAAATTAATGAATATATTGATGAATGTTTCGATGACTCTTTTATGCGGTATATTTGTAAACTTGTTATTGATGAAGTCCCTGTTCTAAATATTTTTGAAAAGCAGAGTAAAGAGTAGATGTGAAAATTATACTTTTATTTAATTTTTAATTAATATAAAGCTACTTTATATTACTTTAAATTTTTATATAAATAACCACAAATTTTAAGATGTCAGATAACCACCTTTTTTTAATATTTTTACCCCTCATAAATGCCTAATGTTATAATCGAAGATTTAATTTCATTGTTTTTGAGACAAAAAATCGATAAAAATACACTTATTAAAATTTTAGAGATTTATAAAATATCACACAAGGAATTTAATAAAGAAGTTATAGAGAAAATTCGTGAAAGTACTAATAGACCCATATTAAAGATTAGTACATTTTTAGATGATTCTTATCTTAAGAAATTAAAAAATATGGAATTTCCGAAATCTACAACTCTTTGTCATAAAAGATACGATTTTGATGAGTTATACAAATCTAACAAATTTATTACATATAAGAGTATTTCTAGAATGCTTTCAGTTGATGAAATAGCATCGAAAGTTGATCAATATTATAAAATAATGAATATTAACTGTCGACCGGATAAAGATACAATTGAATACTTTCATAAATCAATAGAGGCATACATAAAAAAATTAATAGAGAAATGTGATAAATTAGATACTAAAACTATAAAAAAGATGTTAGGTAAAGATAAACATATATTGAATATTTATGATATCTAATATTATTGTTTTTTTTTACTACATTTTTACACAAAGGACAGACAGAAGATTTGTATCCCTTTTTATGCTAAAATATTACAAAGATATCGAAAAAATAATATTAACATGCAAAAAAATAGGATGTACACAAAAAATAGTGCAATATTCTGTTTCTATTTTTAAATTATATGTGAATAATTCTAAAGATGAAGATGTTGATTCTGTTATTGCAGCATCTATTTTATTGGGATGTAAAATATCTAATTATATAATTGACATAAATAGACTTACAAAGAATAAAAGTAAAGTTATAGAAATTGAATTTGATATCTGTAAAGTTCTTGATTTTGATTTTAATCAAGAAGATATTTATACTAAATTGGTGTGTTATCTAACAAAGTACAATATAAGTCAAGATGTAGCACAATATGTATGGATTTTTATAAATGATAGTGTTTTTATTGATGTATCAAAATATGATTATGATAGTATAATATTAGCTTGTATCAATTTAGCGTGTTTAGTTTTTGATATTGATAATAAAATAGAAGTAAATAATAGTGTAAAAGAAATTATGAATTCTATTTTGTGCGTTTATGAAAAAAATTAAATATTTTGTTTATTTTTACAATAAAATACTAATTTTAAAATTAAATATTTTGTTTATTTTTTACAAAAAAATATTTATTTTAAAAATTTAATATTTTGTTTATTTTTACAAAAAAATACTAATTTTAAAGCTTAAATATTTTGTTTATTTTTACAATAAAATACTAGTTTTAAGCTTAAATACTTTGTTTATTTTTTACAATAAAATATTTATTTTAAAAATTAAATATTTTGTTTATTTTTTACAATAAAACATTTTTTAAAAAAAATACTTTGTGCATAATGCACTTAAAAATAGAATATAAAGTTATCACACCTTGTATCACATTTAAATCTTCAGTAAAGTACTGTTTAGTTAAATCTACTCTAAGGCTTTTACATTATAGATATCTATTCGTGTCAAATAATTTAAAGATTAAATATAAAAACCCTGAGTATTTTTTTATTACTAAAAAAAGTCATGCTTTTTATCATACTTTAGATGTTGATTTGTCATTACAATATAATAATAATCAGAAATATTTTATTATATTTAAGAATATCATATATGTTAAGAAATTTAATTTACAGTTGTTTCATACAAGATTTACTAATCAGTTAAATTTAAATGATTATTTTTTTACAAGAAATATTTCTAGAAGCTTAGATGTTAAAATAAATATTTATACAAAAAAAGAGAAAGCAATTAAAAAAGAAATAAATCTACATTTGGATTTTACACCTCCTAGAAAATATTTATTATTTATATTGAAGACACTTTCTTCTTCTAGTAGCCAGGAAATTTTACTAAAAAGATGTATTTTTAATTTTAAAAATGTTAAAGGTAATGAAGATGTATATTTATACATTAAAGATAATCATAACCTTATTGAAGTAGAAGAAGAAAGTAATATGGTTTTAATAATTGATGATTGCATACTTTACTATCAAAATAATAAAGATAATTTACAAGATCTAAGTTATGTAATGAAAAAAGAGTATATTTTTAAACCGATAGAAATGTTTTCATATCAAAATATTTAGAATTGTTTATAAAAATTCAATTAGAATTATTGTATTCGATTTCTGATTGTTAGATATAAACATGTTAAGGATATTTAAATATACAATAAAACATTACAATAATGTATAAATTACATATAAAATATACATGAAAAAGTAAACAAGTCAGAATTCTTAAAATTTGATAGGTTTAAAAATACATCAAAAAATCATAAAATTTTACCCTATGAAACGAAAAACAGAAATATTTATTGCTATTACAGTAGTCACTGCAGTGACATGTTACTTATTTAAAAAAATAATAAATAGACAAAAGTCTGATTATACATCAATAAAACAGGAAGCAGATAAATATTTTATACAAGAAGATTATAAAAATGCTATTCTGTTGTACACTAAATGTAAATATATGAAAAGTGATGCTGAAATTCTTACTAAAATTAGTCTCTGTAATTATTTCTTAAAAAATTATCAAGAAGTTATAAATAATTCTTTATTTAAGACAAATAATAAAGATCTAATAAAAATAAGATCTGAATGTTACAAGCAGATGGGAAATAAAAAAAAATTTCTTAAAGATTTAGCACTTTATGAAACATTTGCTAATAATAAAGAAGTCCAAGATGAAATTATGCAGACTGTTAAGGAAATTTGTGAAGAAGAAGTGAGTGAGTTTATTGAACAAGAAGGCTTAAAAATTAATAAAGAAGATGTGCTAAGAGGACTTGTTTCAATAAAAAATATAAATGAGATTTATGATGCATTTGGAGGTAAATCTAAGAAGTTTAAATTTTCTAATGATGAAAAGGAAGTGTTAAATCTTCTTAATGCCATTATTTTACACCTAAAAGGAAAAAAAGAACAGGCAATTCTTTTATTAGAAAAATCTACTTATAAATACAGTATCTTGTATAGAGCATATTTTCTTACATTGAAGAATGAATATATTTCATCTTCATTGCCTTTAGATGACGAGATTACTACGCTTTACTTGTATTCTAAGATTTTTAAAGATAAATCTGATACTTACCTTAAATCTGCTATAGATAAATCAGTAGATCTACCTATTGAACAGAAAGACTTTCTGTACGTAGATCTTCTTGTATTTTACATTTCTAAAAAGGATGTTGAAAAAGTTAATGAAACAATTAATAATTTAAAAGAGACTCTTACCCCCACTTTATTGGAACTTATTGGAGAATATTATTTAAAAAGTGGAAATCACTCTAAAATGTTAGATCTATTATCTAGTCATCCAGATACTCCTGGTAAATTACTTTTAACGGCACTTTATGCAATAAGTATTGATAAGAAAAAGGATGCTATAGAAATTTTATATAGAAGTATATCAGAATATTCATCTTATTTTAAATCTTATTTGTATTTAGGAAATATTTTAATAAATGATGACTTAAATGAATGCAGGAAATTGTTTAATACATCACTTCAATATTGTTGTAATTCTGATGAGGTTTTTATTGTTAAGCAGTCACTTATTTTAATAGAAGTACATGAATACATCAAAGAAAATAAAATATAAAACAATGATACTTTATTAATGCATAAGCATAAAAATATATTTAAATTAAATTGGTTTATAATTAATAAATCAAGCGGCATATTTTTAAAAATTGCTTCACTTTTAATGTGTATTAGATTTTTATACAAATAAAACCATATATTGTATATTTATAAAATTTGTACACAAATGCAGATGTGTGTTTAAAGATTGTTAATAAATTTTTATTTACTTTACAATTTACAAAAAAATTATTTTAGTATACTTCTCGATCATGTAGTGTAGTAAAATTTAATATCAAACTTAATTTATATTAAATTAACTTTAAGGAAAATATAAATGATATAAAATATACAAAAAATACTGTATTAAAAACAATCTTAGGCATTATTTTAATTTGTTGATCAAGTCTTAACTCTTATGTGATTATTGTTATTTTTTCTCAGAAAAATTACGATATTTTTTTGATTAATTTGATCAAAATAAGTATATTTCAGACAATTGTATTATCTTAAATTTAAAAAACCAACTTAAAACTTGTGTGAGCAATCTAAAGATTTAAGCTTGAGCAGTATATTAATTTTACATTTATAAAAGATTGTGTAATTTTAAATATTTAATAAATATTTTCACACTTATTGCGAATTAAAAAAAGTAAATGTACTACCAGTAAAATTCTACTTTGACTTAACCAGCTTATACTACTGCTAGTTATTCATCTTATTTATAAACTAAATATTTACTTCAAAAATACAGAGAAGAAGAAATAATTTATGCAATAACAGGACTTTCTTTGTTTCTATTAAAAATTTAGCTTTGTATGATTTTATGCTATTTTCTTCATGTTTTTTTAAATGTATAAAAAAATAGGTATTATCATTAATCTAGTAGATTAACTCGTAAGTAATTATTAATATACGATAAAAAACTTGTTTTTATAGTAAAATATGTATTTTTTACATACTTATTATTAGTTAAATCATTTCGTTTTAAATGGTCTCTGTTATCGATTTTTACTCAACACATTTGATAAAAAAATCAAAAATTTTATGTAAATTTGTGTTTAAAGTATTAAAATATTATCTGAACGTCTAATTACTGCAACTTTATGATAGTTTATACAATTGTACTTTTTTAACAAAAGCTATACATAAATAGTTCACATTGAGTAATTATCACATTCAATAAAATTTCTTATGTTTTGTCTTAAAAGGTTACAAACCATCTCTAATTTTTTATGTTTGTAAATGGCATGTAAAATAATTAACATTTTTAAAAAAACACCGAGAACGCAAAAAAAGGTAAAGTATTAAAATAAAAAATAATTAAGAAAAAGGATAAAACATAAAATTTTACTATTTATACACCGATTAACAATTTTATATTACAGGGATTTTGAATATGTAAAAATTTTTAAAATTGTTTTTATTTTTTTCACCAGTTCTTTAATTTATAAAGTCATCTTGGCATTTATACTTGACATAGAAATAAACTAAATCATATTGTGTTAATATAAAATCCTTTTACTACAAAATAGCATTTTTGTAAAATTATCTTTATCAAGATTTTATAAATAGCTAAGCATAATAAAAATTTGTTTTTTTTTCTCCTTTATTTATGTAAACATTAAATGTAGTTGTAAACATAATTTCTCCCTAAATGTGTAATGTTTTGTTAGCAGGTAAGTGGAAAAAAATATAATTTTAGGATGTGGTGGCACAGGAGTAGAAATACTAAAACTTCTTTCTATAACCAATTTAAAATACAACATAACCCTTATTGATAAAGATATAATAGAATTAAGTAATCTTAACAGGTTATTTCCCTTTACATCTAAGGATATAGGTTGCTATAAAGCAAGTGTATTATCTAAAATTTATAATACTAAATATATTGTTAAAGACATCCTTACGCTAGATAGTGTTAGTAATTATGATATGATTATAATTGCTGTAGATAATTTACCTTGTAGGATGCATTTAAATTATTTATATAAAATAGAAGGAAAGGGACTTCTTATAGATTGTGGGGTTAGTAAAAATATGTGCCACGTATTTAAAATGGATAGAAATTCATTTTGTCTCTATTGTATGAAAGAAATGTATGAAACAGAGACAGGTGAAGGAGTTTCTTGTTCTAAACAAGCTGAAATAGAAATATATATTCGTCCTTCCGTTTGTTATATAAATTCTATTTGTGCTTCACTCGTCATGTTAATTATTACAGATTCCTTAAATAATTATTACGTTTACAACGGTACGGAAGGAATATTTTTATCAAAAATGAGAATTGAGAAAGATGTTTTTTGTATTTTATGCAGTAAAAATTTTATTTATTAAATATTTTAATTGTTTGTTTGTTAGCAAACAAATTACTCTAGACTAAAAATATGTATTTTATTTATTACATTCATCAATCCACTCTGAATAAATGTCTATAGGATTAGTAAGATTATTTGCTTCACATCTAAATTGTGCTTGACACACAGTACAAATTGCATATCCTTTAGACTGGTGTTTAATAACTTTACATTGCACAACAGAATCTTGATTACATTTAGGACAAGCAAATCTTTTTTCTAATGGTAAAATAGTTCTAGGTTTCTTAATTTTTGCCCTTCTTACTTTTTTTCTTCCCATAGGGGGTAGAAATTTCTACCCATAAATTTAATGGTGATTACATTTCAAGATAATATTAAACTTAGAGGAGATAATAAAAATACTTTTTTTAGAGAGGATGGAAGATTTAAAAATGAAATTAGAAGATTTATTATTAAAAGTGAATTTCCGTATACATCACTACGTCAAGGAAATTCACATGTACAGGTAAAGATAGATGGACCTAAAGAAGGATCTAAATTATATTTTTACATTACTGGAACCACAAATGATACTAAAAGATACTATGAATTATTTTCTATTTTTGATAATATATTACTTTTAGATTCACAACTAGATATTTATGTTAATATTTTAGAAGAAGATGGTAGTTTGTTAAGTACTATAGTTAATTGTATAGTATTAAGTATATGTCACAGTAACATTCCATTGAAAGATTTTCCATGCAGTATTACTTATTCAGAAAAAGGAGTAGATTTATCTGCCAGTGAAGAGGGAAGTGGGAGGGTGACTGTAGTTTACCTTATGAATAGTAAAAAATTGGTGTATTATAAAGCAGAAGGGAAGATTACCCTTGAAAAATTACAGAATATAGACGAAATGGGGAGAATAGCGATAGAAGAAATTTTTATAAAAATGAAAGAATTTTTAATTAAGTAAATTTTTAAGAATGTACTAGCACGTGTAATTTGTTAATGAACTTGAATATTGTTAACAATTTTAACGTTTTACTATTTGCTATGTTTTATGTTCTAATAAAATATTTTAATATTAATTTTTAGTATAAATTTGCATTTATATAAAGACTATGTTTTATGTAACGTTTTTTAATTTAAACATCTTTAATGTAACTTTTTAAATGATACGAATATCTAAAGACATAAAATTTATTTAGTTATAAAAACATGTTTTAGTACAATTGATAGTAGAACAGATGACAAAAATTATTTGATTATTTAATGCAAAGAACAATGAAAAGGACATAAACAAATTCCAAATAGACAATTTATTTCAAACATCAACAAGATTTAAAAATTTGTTTTATATGCAGAGATAATTTTTTTAATTAGAATGGATGTACGTCATTTCGGATTTAAAAAATTTTTATATTGTATGTTACATACAGTTGGATATAAACCAAAATTTGAAAGTTTATTATAAAATAATGTGACATTTTCTATTTAATATATTGTATTAAAAAATGGCTGTAATAATAAGATCACAACAAGTGCTTCTTTTTCAATATAATATATCAAAACATATAATATTTACGCAAGTGATTAAGAAATTTAAGCTTAGCACTCCAACAATTTACTGAATTTACAATAAAATTAAACTATGGCTCTGTAATAGCCATACTATGAAAATAAATTATATATTTAGTTTTATAAAATTAAAGTTCCCACAGTCTTAAAAGTCAAAATTAAATTTAAAAAAATTTTAATTGAAGGGCAAGAAAAAATAAAATAAGTAATAGAAAATTTAACAATCAGTATATTAGATAGCCAAGAGCAGAAGTAGGGAGCATAACTTATAAAAATAAAACTAATAAAATTAATTACATTGAAACTAAAAGTATCATTGAACTTTATTAAAACCAAGGTGTTGCTTCCTTGGGCAGGACAGGCTCATAAAAAATTTACCACATAGTAAGTAAAAATAAGGTAGTTTTTGTTTCCCTTGGATCAAAACTGTTGTAATGTTACATATATATTAGACAGTGGAAAAATTAATATTTCTTTGATTTACAAATACAAGAACAATATTGCACTTTTGCTGTGAAAAAATAATTTATTTTTATTTTTCAAGCAACTTTTTGTAAAACACAAATGATAGGTCTACCATGTGCACAAATAAATGGATGTTTACACAGTCTCATTTCATTTAGCAAATATACCACAAAACATGGTTCAAGTACATCTCCAAATTTTATTGCTTTTCTACATGCATCTCTTTTTCTTTTCTTTTCATCGCCTTTAAATCTTTCATACAAAATTCTTTCATGCAGTCCATGTTGATCTATTGCATAAATTTCTCTGTCAATTTCAACTAGAATAAATTCATTGTTAAAAATTCCAATAAAAGACATAAAAGAAAGATGAATATTTTTAAAAGATCTTTTTCTCAAATATTTTTGACAAGAAATATTTTTCTCTATAAAAGGTGTTTGTAAAAGTGACCTTGATATATGTTTGGAGAATAAAGACTTAAGAATGCCTTGTATTGTAATACCATACATTTTATTTCGGCATGTAATGTTATGTATTGTATAAGTATGTTCTGTGATGTCATACTTTATATGTTTTTTATGTTCCAAGAGTATCTCATAGATTTCAATATCTGATTTAAATAAAATAAATGAATATTTTAAACACTCAATTATTACAATATGCCTAGATATACAAATATCTACGTGTAATATAAGTTTATCGTTTTCTATTGATATGTTAGGCTTTAAACTCAGTGCAGATATTAAATTATAAAAATATTCCATTATGCAAGAAATATTTAATATTTACACATACCATCGTTTATTAATTTTATAACCATTTATAACGAAATTTACTTAATTCTGTTTTGAAATAGAAAATACAAGCTATCGCAGTAAATAAAAAATTGACTTGTTAGTACAATCTTGGTCAAGATTTGAATGTTTTTGTATTAAAAAAACTTACTATTTAAATTAAATAATTTACATTTACATATAATATTAATTACAAATTTTCTATTTTTCAATTGAAATTTGTTACTTTACTTTATAAACATTAATATTCAATAAATAAATATTTATGCTTAAATTTACTTGCCTGTTAAAAATGATTTATTTTTATATTTTTTAATTTTAATTAATAAAAAATACTAAATTTATTTTTAATTACTAATTTATTAAATCATCATTATTTACATTATGGTATGAATGTAATGGGAAGGTGTTATATTTATTAAGCATCTTAGGCTTTTCTTGAATGTTATTTTTTGGTATTAATTCACCAAACTTTGTATATGAATGGTGTTTACTAAGTTGTTCATGCTTATCATCTTCTTTATCTAAAAATGAAAGAGGCGAAGATTTTTTAAACAATTCGTCAAAAAGAGTTAATTCTTTTGAACTCATAAAACTATTTAATGAAGATCTTTGAAATGCCTTAGGAATGCTATTAAGCTGATGCTCTGAGTTTGGAATAAACACTACAACATTAACTTTTTTAGGTACTGGTTTCTGCTTATTTATATTCTTTTTCATGTCGACAAATTCTTCTGATGGTCTCGTATACACTTCATGTGTAAAATAAAGGAGACCTATAATTAACACCAAAAGAAATAATGCTACTAAAATTTTATTATTCATATTCAAATACAGATTTTTTCTTTAAATGTACGATTAAAACATGTTTCATACTAAAACACTACACTGATATATTTTACAAAAATATAAAATAAGAGAGATACATTGTAGTGCTCAGTATTCTTAAAATAAGTAAAAAAGAGTTTACTGATATTTTTTGTAATCAAGAGTGTGTCAATCAATAATTATACGTACAGAGATTTTCAATTTTGATTACAATTTTACAAAATTTATTTTTTAAACATTTTCTTTTAAAAATTAATTATTTTTTAAATTTTTACTTTATAAAAATTAATTATTTTTTAATAAAAATTACTTTTAAGCATAAATTTGCAAATAAGAAACAGTAACAAAAAACTTAAACTTAAGTATAAGTTATAGAAAAAATTTAAATGATAAAAGTGATGTATTTTATTAAATGTTTATTAAAATAATATTGTAAATTTACCTTAACCATCTTGTGTGTATAAATACGCTATCAATTTAAAATCTTGAGCTTAATTTTTAAATATTTACTTATTGGGTACAATCTAGATATATTTCTATTATTTTTTAAGATTATTTAATTATTGTTGTAATTTACAATTGAATTTGATATTTTTAATTGTAAATTAATTTTTAAATTTTATGCCCCAAAATGCCAGTTGATATTTTTAACAAATTTGCAAAAGATTATTTTGGTTTAGAAATAATAATTTTTACGCTTTCTTTTGTGTTCTGTCTTCTACCGAAAGCTATAAAAAAAGTAGATAAACTTTCTAAAATATTTCCTATACTTACACTTGCTTCTGCTGGATTTTTGCTTGCTGTATTGCTTTTAGACTTTATTCCTCACATGTTTCCACATGAACACGTTGTCTTAAATAATACACCTAGTAAACACACTCACAATGCATCGCAGAATTGTTGTAACCACACACATGCACATGATGATCATGATCAAGCACATTATAATACTATTGTTGGAATGGTGTGTGCTGGGTTATCTCTACTTGGATTGATAGGAATAGATCAATGTATAATTAAGCACGATCATTGCGAGGAATCACACGATGAACATTTGCATGATACGCATCATGAACATGTACATCATTTTCATTCAGAAAATATACAACAATCTAATATTTGTAATGAATTGGAAAGTAAAGATTTTATAAATCAAGATATAGGATGTTGTAATACAAAAATGTTAAAAAATACAGAGTCTAAAACAAAAGCTTTGATTTACATTTTTAGTATTTCTATTCATTCATTTTTCGAAGGACTAGCAATGAAAAAAAGCACTTTTACGTCATACGAATTTGGTATTATTTTACATAAAATATTAGAGTCATTTGCAATAGGAATGACTCTTTTTAATTCTGCTTTTTCATTTCTTGTATGTTTGTTAATGAACGCTTTTTATTCTTTTCTTACTCCACTCGGTATGTTTATTTCAAGATATTTTGGCAGTAACTTATTCCAAATAGGAAAAGTTCCTATTTCTGTTATTTTTAATGGTCTTGCTTTAGGTTCTCTTATGTTTATTGTTTTTTTAGAAATGATTCCTGGTGCTTTTCATAAAAAAGGAAATAAATCACTGAAGATGTTGGGATTAGTGCTAGGATTTGTTTTATCTGCTTCGTTGATAGTTCTTACCGGACATAGTCATTAATAAATTATTCTATAAAAGTAATATATTTTTAGATAATTTATTAATAAATTATTAATAAATAAATATATTTCTGAATAAATTCCATTATATGATTTTATAAAATTAATATATTTCTAGATAAGTTTTATTATATCAAAAAATAAATCTATTTCTAAATATGTTTATTGTACTTTGTTAAAATATCTTCTACTTGACAAAGTAAATCATTTTCATTTTGTACAAGTTCATAAAAAATAGTACAAATGTTTATATCACTAACTTTCTTTGTTTTTAGAAATCCGTAAAGTAGATTGACAAGGTGTTTATCCTGTGGAAATTTTTTGGCTGCATTTGAATACCCTATATTTTTCAAATAAATGTGCTGTTCTCTTAAATATGATTTTTTAATTATTTTATCATGTCGTAAAGATTCTCTTTTTAGTAAAATGAGATCATCTTGATCTTTTGAAAATAATTCTTCAATGTCTTCTTCTTCTTCCATAGGTTATAAAAAATAAAGGAGTAAGTGTCAATTTTGAAATTTATAGATACAAGCCAAAAGCTAACTTTGAAAATGGTAGAACTTATAAGAAAAGGAAGAATTTTATAAATTTGCAAAGTTAACAAAATTTTATATAAAATTTTGGATATTTTCACAGACGCATAAGCAAAAAAATATATTTTCGTATGATTTTTGCATGTAAAGAAAAATTTTGACATTTTAAAGATGTAAACATACTGGCACTGAGATAATAATTAAAATACTTGATTTATGACTTAATAATGTATTATTGATCCTAATAAAAAAATTATCAGGTGTATCTTGTTGGAACAAAACATGGGTTATTTATATTAAAATATTTAAAAAAGACAAGTCAAATGTCTCACAGTACAGAATAATTATTTGAAAACTAAATATCCTGCATATCTAGTTCACTTTAAATTGAATTTTAAAAGAAAGCTTAGTGCACGTAGTAAATATTTAAATATTATTTTAAAAAAAATGGTTGTTTTTATTCTATCAAAAAAGTGGATGAAAATAAATTTAGAGAGAGAAAATTCATCAGAGGACATCAATTAAATCATTTGTAGATTATTTGTGTAGTAAATAGAACGGAGAGATGGTTATATTACAATCTGTAGATAAGTGAGATAAAGAAACATTAACAATATTTTGTATTAATTATATTTATAGTACTTCTACAATATATATTGACTGTTGGAAAAGGTATTTCTTATTTCCTTAACATTTTAATTTACATAAAACAATTTATCAGTTTATTTATTTTGTATGTACGAGATAGAAACTTTTAGAAATATTATTCAGGAAATTGGAATGCTGTAAAACGTATAATTCCTTAAGATATAAAACTTTAAGATTAGTTTAATATTTATTTATAAAGTGATATTTTTATAAGAATTAAAGAAATACAATTTTATTTACTTATTTAAATTTTTACTCTAATTTGTTTGTTGTGTTGATTTACAAAAGTTCTAAACATAATTCCAAGATAGAGAAAGTTATTCACTTTGTCTTAATGTTAAAAACTTTAAAAAATAAAGTTAAACTTTAAAATTTTTAATGTATCAAAAATACCAAAAATGAACATTTGAGTCATAAATAAATTTTAAAGTTAGATAATTGTATTATTTATCTTTCCATAGTGTATTGTTTTTTACAATCTCTACATTTAATTTAAAAAAGAACTTTTTATAAATAAACAGATTTTTTTTAAAAAACATGGGTGTGCCAATTTTATTTTCATGGCTTAATAAAAAATTTCCAGATTGTATTACACAAAAGCCACCTGAACAGGTAGACATTCTTTATATTGACTATAATGCAATAATACATAATTGCTATAATCCCAATCTTGGATCACTGGATAAAATTTACGAAGATATGATTGATAGACTAACAAAGATGGTAGATAATATTGTAGAAAAAGCTAAACCCAGAAAAATACTATATATAGCAGTAGATGGTGTGGCACCCGCAGCTAAACTGGCACATCAGAGGGGTAGAAGATATAAGGCAGCAAGTGAAAAAGCGGGACCAAATGGTTATATTGATTTTAGTAGTAATGTTGAGATTACGACACAAGAAGGTGCATTAACCTCTAAACCGCCTACAGCAAATATTTTTGATTCTAATTCTATAACTCCAGGTACTGAACTTATGAAATTTTTACATAAAAATATAATAGACATGCTTATTTACAATTTAAATACTAATCCAAATTATAAAGATCTTAAAATTTTATATTCAAGTTATTTGGTTCCTGGCGAAGGTGAGCAGAAAATTATGGCATTTTTAAGAAAATATCATCTTTCTAATCCTAAAGATACGCATGTCATGTACAGTCCTGATGGAGATATTATCTTTTTGGGTGTAAGTCTTTATGATGTAAATCTGTACATTATGAGAGAAGATACTTTTAATAGCAAAAATAAAAAGGAAATTTGTAGAATGTGCTCTAGAATGGGTCATTTTTCTGAACAATGTAACAGACCAGATCTTTTAATTTACAGTTATATTGATGTACCGAAGTTTAGAGCATCTCTTCTTAAAATTTTTAATATAAAAATTGAATATGTTGAAAAAAGAATGTTAACAGATTGGGTTTTAGTATGTTTTCTTTTAGGAAACGATTTTCTTCCTGGTATTCCCTGTGTGGACATTAAAATTGGTTCTATTGAAAATCTTACAAGTACTTTATGTGATAATTTTACGAATTGCAAAGATTACATCACCACAGAAGATAAAAATATTAATTTTAAAATATTAGAATGTTTTTTTGTTCTTTTAAGTACCAGGGAAAATGACTGGTATAACAATAAAACAAAGATGCTTAATAGGTCGTGTAATTTTATTAGAGAAGAAATCCAATTGAATACTCCACAGGGTAGACAAAAATATTACAACAGTAAATTTGGTGCACATTGTGAAGCAGATTTTAATAATATTTCTCAAGAATATATTACTGGTATTTTATGGACTTTTAATTACTATATTGGGGGTAAAACGAGTTGGGATTGGGTTTATCCGTATCACTTCGCCCCATTTGTACGCGATCTTGTTAATGTTGTACGAGCGCATTATGATTTAAAAAAGGGATGCGTGTTGACTCCCTTCGAACAACTAATGGTTGTTATTCCACCACAGAGTAAAAATCTTGTAACAGAAAAATTAAGATATATTTTTGATGAATATAAGGATCTTTATCCACTTACGATTAAATTTGATATGTTTGATAAATATCTTCTATGGACTGGTGTTGTTTTACTTCCTCCTTTTAATTCTCAAGTGGTTTTAAATGCTGTGAAAGGAAAGATTAATGAAATTAGTGCAAGTGAGCTTGATAGGAATACCGAGGAGTCAGAATTACTTTTTGTTTCTGATGAAAATTCAGTTAATAATTTACAAAAACTTTACTTTGATTTAAAACCGGCAGCAACATTTGTTTTCGACAAAATGTCTATACCTGTTTATCCATACTATAAGGCGCTATATCCAGGAAGTAAAGATATTAATCGTAATGGTAAATCATTTACTAATAATGTGGTTGTTGTTAGATATGATCAGTTTTAATAAAAGTTTTTACTATAAGAAAGAGCGCATGTGTTAATTTCTTGTACATAAGTTATTTTTAAAAAATATAAATTTACACTATTTTATGCATTTTTACAAAAATATAAATTTACACGTTTTATGTATTTTTTAAAAATATAAATTTAAACATTTATATGCATTTGTTATGAACTTTCAAGAAAGGTATAAATTTACACGTTTTTATTATTTTTACAAAAATGTAAATTTATACATTTATATGCATTTTTTATAAATTTATAAGAAAGGTATAAATTTCCACGTTTTATGAATTTTTACAAAAATTATAAATTTTTTAAAAAATTTACAAAGCCTATTACGAAAAAATTTCGCTACAAAATTATACCTTTTTATTAATAATTTATTCTGTATATTCTATGTATTCAGCACTATTATTTTTAAAATCTACTACTACTACTTTTTTTGTCTCATGGAAGTTTGGAATAGTAACAACAATACATTCTGTACTATCTTCCTTAATAAATAATTGTTCATCACAGTTTGGTACAAAAAAATATTCAATCTTTTTATCGATAAAAAATACTTCAGATTCACTGTAAGGAATAATAGATAAGGTGTCGGGTCCATTGGGTGCTAACAATCTTGCTCTAATAAGACCTTTTACCACTTTTAGCAAATTTAATGTATTAAAATCTTGTACATGAACAGGTGTTGTATCCATTTTTTCTTCCTTAAGATGCATTCTATACCCATCTGCCTCATATTGTATTCCTTGAATATCCTGATCAATGTATTTTAATAAATCTTGCAAAATTTTATGAGAAGTGAATGCAACAGATTTACCACATAAATCTACGATACAAGGATTTGAATACGAAATGATATTTTTTTTAAATAACTTTTTATGGACGGGAAGCAGAGGGAAGGACATACAACTAAAATCACGGTATTCAGGAATTAATATTATATTACTATGTAAACTTTCTAAACACTTTTTAAATAAATTAAAATCATCATCAAAAAATCGCCCAAATATCACTAACTCATCTATTCCATGCATAAAAAGATAATCTGTTATAACTTTAATACCAGTTAAATTTTTATTATTCGCAATAAACAGCCCAGACACAAAAATAACCTTTTTTGTGCTTAACACTGTTTCTTTTTTTTCAGGTGCATTAGGGAACACAATTTCCTCTACATTAAAAATATTATTTTTTAGGTTTCCAATAAAACCAAGACACATTCCTGTACATAAAAAATCTTTTTGTTTACTATTTAGCATAATTTCTATCCTACCAGTTTCATCTTCTACAAAATATTTAATATCTTTAGAAATGTAAGTAGATTTTTTAAATTCTACTTTTTTCTTGTTTGTGTTCAATTTGTCGAAGATAGTAGTTTTAAGATCACTAGATATAAATAAAATACCAATTATAAAACACTTTTCCGTCTGTTTATTAAGATCATGGATTCTATTACAGATATCTATGCTTTGTGGTTTGCTAATAAGAGGTCTAAGAGTTACTAGTCTTATTTTATAAGTATTGTTGTATTGATTAGTAAAGTTTGGGTACAAAGACTGCATTTATGGATAAAAAAAAATATTTTAAATTTGGCACATTGGAAAAGTAAGCTAAAAATACAAATTGTAAAGAATTCCGCATTAGAATTGTACTATTTTATTAAAAATACTAAAGACTTTTTATTATCTTTTTTACATAAAAGCAAAGTTTTTAAAAAAATTATCAAGACACTGAAATTTACTATAAAAGAGAAATAAGAATAATAAAAAATTGAAATATAAAAAAACAATTAAGTAGTTAAATTGACAATATATCTTTTTTCTTGGTATTATAAATTAAACATTTAGTTGTTTTTTGATAAGTAAGACACAAATAATTGACTGATAGGGTTTATTGATAATTTTTTTCAATTTTCAAATAAAATTATTAAATTTTTACCACCTTACAAAATAAAATTATTATATGATAGTAAATTACCATTTCAACTAAAGGTATTTACTGTAGCAAAAAAGCTCGTGATGTTTAAGCTTTAATAAATGGTTACATATTGTGTCTTATAGCAATGTAAAATTTGATGAATATAATGTAATACTTCAAGGTCCTTTTAGCTGTAAATTTTTCAATTCAAAATGAATTCAAAAAAAATAAATAATCTTTTCTAATTACTAAAATAAATAAGTATAAAAAAGCTCATAATATAGTAGAATAAACAAGTATAAAAAACACTTTTTTATACTATTAACTTTTAATCATCATCTATATATATAAAAAGTTTGAATCTAAACAATTTTTTATTTTTTAGCCCTTCTTTTTTAAATATTTGTAAAATTCTTTGTATTTTCTATTTAAAAGCATTAAAATACAACTTAAAGATTTGTATATAATTGTTACTAAAAAGATATTACGGGGTTTAAGTATTTTTCATCAGATTTTTCAATTTTTTGTAAATGCAAAATTGTGAACTATTGCAAATTTTACTTTACAATGTAAGACATTTTGTACTTTAAACAATGCGCACAAGCCTAAAGACATGATACACAGTGAAAAATAAGAGAATTATTTGTTTATAATCCCATTTCAAACGGGATAGCGTTGGCTAGTCTATATATATAAAAAGTTTAAATCTGAAAATTTATTTATTTTTTAACCTTTCTTTTTTAGAAATTTTTAAAATTCTTTGTATTTCTTATCAAGAACGAGTAGCATCATTTCAGGGTTTGTTTCTCTAGGCACAGTCAGTGTTTCGTACATTTTTCTTTAATTTTATTTAATTTTTTAAATTTTATACAAGGTGTCTAAAGCAAATTTTAATTTATAATAAAAGTTATTCATTTTATAATTTAAAATAATAAAATAAGTACATACATTAAGGCACATCATATCCATTCAACCCATAAAAAAGAAAGAACACACATTATTTTTGTAATCCTATTTTCAACGGGATAGCGCAAGCTAGTTATAATATAAAATATTAATATGTATTTAAATTTACTCTTTATTAGCGTCAATAAATTAGACTGTATCATTATTTCTTTAGAAAT